ATGAAAGCAAATGTGAAGAAATCGGTAAAGAAGAAACACAAGATATACATGACGTTTAGGAAGACTCAACGGTACAAAGACTACAAAGATGCTAAGCAGAGGAATGAAACAAAGAAGATAGTGGAAAAAGCCCACGCTGCCTATGAAGGAAAGCTAATGAAAGAATTCAAGGAGGAGCAGAAGCAACTGTTCAACTATGTAAGAGCTAAACAAAAAGTTAAAGTTGGAATTTCCAGACTGGAAGGAGTCAAGGAGAGGACGGAGAATTAACGGAGACAGAGGAAGAGGCAGCGAATGTCTTGAATAGGTTCTTTGAATCTGTATTTACCCATGAACCAGATGGAGATGTTCCAGAGCTAGAACCAAGGAATGAGTTTACCATCGATGACGTCAAGGAACAGATGAAAAGGCTGAAGCATGACAAATCACCTGGCCTAGACGGTATCCATCCTTGCGTCTTGAATCTGTGTGCCGAAGAGATGGCCAAACCCCTGTTCATCATATACCGAAAGTCCCTAGATGAAGGAAGATTACCTAAGGAGTGGAAGACAGCCAGGGTGGTCCCCATCTTTAAGAAAGGATCTAAAAAGTCACCGGGGAACTACAAGCCTATTTGTCTAACGTCTATCCCATGCAAAATAATGGAAGCAATTGTCCGAAAAGCAATCTTGAAGCATGTTGAGGAGCTTGATCTGCTGTCCAAAGACCAACATGGATTCATGAAGGGCCGATCTTGCCTAACTAACTTGCTGGAGACCCTTGAGGAAGTGACAAGCATGATAGATGAAGGAGGTGGCGTCGACATGGTGTACCTTGATTACTCCAAGGCATTTGACTCGGTCCCACATAGGAGGTTGCTGTCCAAAGTAAGATCATATGGAGTGGAGAAGAAAATATGGCGATGGATAGAGGACTTCCTCATTGGAAGAAATCAGATGGTCACAGTAGGGGATGCGGAGTCTGACTGGACAGCAGTGGCTAGTGGAGTACCACAGGGCTCGATATTAGGCCCCATCCTGTTCGTCCTGTATATCAACGACTTGCCTGAGAATGTTAAGTCCAAGGTGAAAATGTTTGCTGACGATACCAAGTTGTACAGACACATTGAAAAGGAAGAAGACAGGACCATACTCCAAAACGACCTCAATGCACTGCAAACGTGGTCAGAAACTTGGCTGTTGAGGTTCAACACAAGCAAATGTAAAAGAATGCACATGGGTCACTCAAACGATGGGGAAGAATACCAACTTAGAGGGGAAATAATACCGCATGACACAGAAGAGAAGGACTTGGGTGTCATAATAACAGAAGACTGCAAAACCAGCAGGCAGTGTGCAGTGGCCACAAACAAGGCTATGGCTAAGCTAAGGATAATTAAAAGAACCTTCAAGCACTTTGACGTGAAATGTTTTGCTGTGTTATATAAGACCTACATACGACCTCACTAGAGTACTGCATCCAAGCATGGAGACCTAGTTTAAAGAAGGATATTGAAATGTTAGAGAAGGTTCAACGCAGAGCAACCAAGATAATTCCTTGTTTGAAGTCCAAACCCTACTCCCAGAGACTGGCCGAGTTAAAACTAACCACTCTGGAGAGAAGGAGAATAAGAGGAGACCTGATAGAGGCATTCAAAATCCTCAATGGATTGGAAGGTATTGAAGAAGGCAAGCTATTCAGTAGGAATTCAAATCAGCTCAGGGGTCACAGTCACAAATTGTTCAAGCCAGCACTAAAGAAGGGACTGAACTGCATGAAGAATTTTTTCTCTCTCCGAATAGTCAACGAGTGGAACAGTCTCCCAGCACATGTAGTGGATGCCAAGTCAATCAACCTATTCAAGAATAAGCTAGATTCCTACTGGAGCCCAAAAGGATATGAAGTCTTAAAGGCATTAAGCCTATTCTTTTCCCATCATACCTTAACCCTAACCCCCTAGGCCCTTGTTGCTTACAACCATCTTCAATCCTCCAAAATCCTCCGAAATTTTTGCAACTCCGCCTAAATTTTTCAAAATTATCAGACAGTCCTGCCTCAAAATGCATTCATCCTCAATCCTCCAAAATCCTCCTCATCCCAAAAGTTTGCACTTGTGTTTACATGAAGGATAACCAACGCCAAATCCTTCAAAATCATCAGACAGTCCTGCCTCAAAATGCATTCATCCTCAATCCTCCAAAATCCTCTTGTGCTTCAATCACCATTCATCCTCAATCCTCCAAAATCCTCATGTGCTTCAATTACCATTCATCCTCAATCCTCCAGAATCCTCATTTGATTCAATCACCATTCATCCTCAATCCTCTAGAATCCTCCAAAACTGCCAGGAGGATTTTGGAGGAGTGAGGTGGGTTAGGGTTAAGTGTAAGTGTAAGTAAGTGTAAGTGAACATCTCTGGTTTTATTCATCATTCAAGTACTGGAAAAAGTTTAGCAACTATTATTATCCAGGTTTTAAGACAGTTCTCACCGTTTTGAGGATTATATTGCAAATGACATGGTTCTGAAAGAGATTAGTCCGAGTAACTTGGACCCAACTTATCGCCTTTTTAACATTCGGACATGGTCTGGCGATAGTGGGGTCCAAGCTAATCATTATATGCATTATATGTCATTGACCCCAAAACCCAACATTGCCCAATAAAAACATTAGATTTCACCCTCAAAACGGCCTCCAAATTACTAGATACGCCACCTGAGGTACAAGTAGACATCGATAATGGCCTAGGTGTGATGGCCTAGCGGTTAAGAACACCAGACTCACGTTCTGGTGTTTCAGAGGCAACAGTGACGTGGGTTCGAGCCCGCCGGCGGACACTTGTGCTCTTAAGCAAGGCACTTAACCATTGTTGCTTCGTCCTTCGGATGGGACGTTAAGCCGTAGGTCCCGTGTCTTATATAAATGCACGTAAAAGAACCCAGTAAACACTTATCGCTAAGAGAAGGGGTTTGCCCCGGTGTTTCTGGCCTCCTGTATAAACTCCAACGTGGAGTATTTAGGAGAAGAACCAACCAAGAACCAAGAACCAAGATAATTAAGATGGTTGTACTGAAGTTTACTTATGATCCTGATGAAAAGTGAAATTTCCCATTCAATCCCGAGAACTCCCCTCGCGATCGTGAACACGTTAAATTTCCGTTGCGTGTTTGAATTGCAATGTGGTCTTCATGCCCAGCGTTCACTCGATGGTCCCCGTATTCCGAGTGCGATTCCGTTACCGAGCGCGCGCGATGCATCAATTATGATAATGATAGACTGGAGCACGTTTGTAAACATAAGTGCATTTTGAACGATAATAGGGAGTCGGGAACTAGCTTGAACTGGTTTCCGTCCATAAAATCTGCCCTATATGGCTATGATCTAGTCCCACTAACTGGGGCGCTAGAACTCCTTTTTTGACATTTGGGATGACGTTGGTCTGTCGTACTAGCGTCCCACTACGGAAGTATTGTCAATGTTACAATTTCAAAGTTCACCACAAAAATCACGCAAAATACTTGACAAAAATACCTTTGAAAGCACCTACTGGCATTTCCACATGTCAAAGATGAAGAAACGGGGCTTCAATGATACTCAAAAAAAAATTGGGGTTGAAAATCCGTGAAATTCAACCACTATTGCACAGACATCATACAGCGATCATTCAAAAACGTTATGGCTTTATCTACTAACGCATTGTCTAGATGGTAGTATGGGCGTACATCATGTACACATACAAACACGTACTTGAAGCAGGGGCCGGGACACGACCGCGACGAGTGCCGAAAAACAAACTCCGCATGTAGATCGGGGGATGCGCTTACGACTGTAGTCTGTGCATGTGCAGTCTGTGCAATAGTGGTTGAATTTCACGGATTTCAACCCAAAAAAATATTTGTGAGTATCATTGAAGTCCCATTACTTTGTCTTTGACATGCGGAAATGCCAGTAGGTGCTTTCAAAGGTATTTTTGTCAAGTATTTTGCTTGATTTTTGTGGTGAACTTTGAAATTGTAATTGACAATACTTCCGTAGTGGGACGCTAGTAGTAGTACAACAGACCAACATCCCAAATGTCAAAAAAGGAGTTCGAGCGCCCCAGTTACTAGTTAGTGGGACTAGCTATGATCATGATTCTCGGACCCTACTCTCGACCATGTCCATGATGTCCAAATGTTAAAAGAGGCGATTCATAGACATGATAGAGTCCTAGTTACTCGGACTACGATAATAATACTATAAACGACTAGGCCTATAGCCTACAGGAAAATCAGGTAAGAAAGCCGATTTTTCTGTCATTTTACTGTTCTAAATTTAAAAAAAAAATAGGGTCAGTATAATTACATGAATTAAGAGAACGTTTCCTGATGTAGCCCCATAAATGTGGCCTATTTACTGGAATGCCTCCGTAAACATAGGCCACACATCCACATGTACAAAAACGTGTCGACTTTGCCAAATTTTGATTTTCACATTTAGGCTTACTTTGTAGTTTTTTTTGCTTTAGAAGCATTCTCACCCTCTATATAGGCTAATCAGAAAGTGCTGCCTTTTTCAGATGTCCATTTTTCGTGAAATTTCCAGATACTTTTGGATTTGCACACGTTTGCGTATCAAAATTTCAACATGAAATTTCACAAAAATTAGACATCTGAAAAAGGCAGCACTTTCTGATTAGCCTGTATAGAGGGTGAGAATGCTTCTATTTTTCTAAAGCAAAAAAAACCTACAAAGTAAGCCTAAATGTGAAAATCAAAATTTGGCAAAGTCGACACGTTTTTGTACATGATGTGGATGTGTGGCCTATGTTTACGGAGGCAGTCCAGTAAATAGGTCACATTTATGGGGCTATTCCTGAGGTTGCAGACTTTGGGGGAGAGACAAAACTTTTTTAAGAATAACAAAAAACGGAAGTGTCCTCAACTACACAAACCCCCGTTAGGCCGAGTCAATATTCATGGTCATGATTTATCACGACTCACGTTGAACATGTTGAATGATGGTCTGTTTGGTCAACTTACATGATGACACAAGACGAAATACTTCACGACAAGTATCACAGCCTTCCATTTTCCGTCTAGGCCTACTTCGTATTGTACAGACTATTGAAGTTCACTGCCTTTCTTTAAGCACACAATTAAAATCTTAATTTACAATTATTACGAAAGTTCTTTGACTTTTCAATTCCATTCAGCTTTATGTACCGCCTTGGACACAAGTTCCCCCCGCCATTTTGCTTCAATTGAATTCTGGGATCGTGTTAACGCGTGCCGCGGTGCCCGTCGTGCGTACACGTAGGGGTTTTCCAAACCTCGGGTTGGTTCCAACTGTGCCTTCAACACGTAGGGTTTTTTTTTCAAACCTCGGGTTCGTTTCAAATTTGCCTTCCAAACAAATTTTAGGGACCGCACTAGTCTGATTGGGGACACCGTCTCACGGTCTACTTCAGAAAAGAAACCTTGAACCATATGGCCAACTTTTCTTTTGGATTAGACATTACAGGCTTCCAAATAATTCCTGAGTCAGGCAGTAGATTCGTAGACTGATGGTGGTAAGTAGACAAATCTGTTAATAATCGATTTATCAGCGTACAGTACCTCTCATCATCAAACAAAACTATGCAAGGAAAACTTACTATCGGTTTTCCCGGCTATTATGAAACGTTTATCATTCGACTTCACCGTTACTAATATTCAAATTCGTCCATCAACATCAGTGGCGCACCCAGGATTTGGCGGGGGGGGGGGGGGCTCACTTTTTTTTTTTTAGAAATTTGATTTTTTTTTTTATGTTGCACAACATTTTTGGCCGCAGAAAAATACATTGAGGGGGGAGGGGATTATTTTGACGTTGGTGGCGCCATTTACACCCCTATACTCGAAAATAGGCTACACACATATCAACACGGTCAAATCGTGGGACTAAAAACAAATAAATAACCCCCCGAGGGCCGCCCCCTCCCTTGGGTGCGCCACGGGTCAACATCGAGTTAGTGCACTTCCAATGTTTCATTTCGTCTTTTGTCTGGCAATTTCAAATTCAGTTCAAGCAAATTCAAACAATGTGCACACGTTTTCGCCCCGCCTTCTCGTCTACGCCAAAACCTTGTTATTCAGATATTAAATTCGTGTAACTGATTTATGTAAGACGAATTCGATCTCTGAATGCTGCCATTCGGCAACAGACAATTTAATCTGTAGTGACGAACATTCTCGACTCGGTGAGTAAAGAGGGTGACCATACTTTAAATTGAATGGTAAATGACTAAATTGGTTTTCAAGTTAAAAGTAAAAGCGTGTGAATTTTTTTTCGGACGAAATTGAATGTTGGAGTTGGTGAATTTGGATGAAAAATGTTTAAAAATAGCCGGGAAAACCGAATAAGCAAAACATTTCTCACAACACACATATCGTATGCTTGCCCCCCCCCCCCCCCAGATTTACCGAAGTGCCCCTTTTGCGGACATAAATGTGCCCCCTCGAGCATAAATGTGCCCCCTAAAATTTCGGATAATTTGTATTCGGTAACCATTTCGCAAAATGGTATAGAAAGTTATGATGAACGAGGAATATGAAAACCAAGCCCCAAAACCCTTACAATGCGCCCTGGAAATGGCCGATTTGGAAGATGTTAACCGGCCAGCCGTTCAATTTTATGAAGATACAAGGAAAGAAATAATTGGAGAATTCTTTTATTAACGGAATTTATACTTTGAACTGAAGATATCACAATGAAGCATGACGAAATTGAACAAAATTATCATTAAATTGTGTGGCATTAGACGAATTTGATTTCTGAATAACAAAGTTTGGCGCAGACGAGCCGAAATCGAATACACCGGGGCGAAAACGTGTGCTCATTGTTTGAACTAAATTTGAAATTGTCTGACAAAAGTGCACTAAATCGATGTTGATGGACGAATTTGAATATTAAAATCGGCGAATTTGAATGATAAACGTTTTAAATTGGCCAGGAGAACCTAAATGACTTGTATAACACTCAGAGTTTGAAATAGATTGACTCTAAAGTTTAGAGTACAAAAAAAGAAAAACTCACGCAGATAAAAGATCCTATATCCTTCGATGACTTCTAATTTGATTGCACCAATTGGAAAAAAAGACAGTAGAAATTAAACTTAAGAATGGTGTTAATGTAGTCTTGAATGCCTATAAACGAAATAGTAATGACTAAAACGAACCTGATTGGGAAACCAAAATCATGTGTGCACGAAAACGAAACTGAATGCGATAATAGTGAAAAAGAAACCCCAGTATGAACAAAATCGAAAATTCTGCACGAATCTGATGAACGGTTTGTTTTCTTCTGAAATTAATTGGCCGGGAAAACCTATAGGCCTATTAAGGTTGAAATACTGAATATTGTGGGTTTTTTTTCATACTATGTTTCTTGGGGTGATTACGGTTAGAAATCATTCTGTCAACAATTATAGCAAGAGAAAGGGCAAACACTAAGAAGCCATTTTTGAACGTTTCCATGCGAACTATGTAAAAGTTCCTGCCCAATTTCGCAACTTAGTTCATTCAATCGGAAAGAATGTTCATTCCATTTCGTGAGGTTTAAGTGAGTTGGTATGAATATCGGTTTCTAAATTGCAGTTAGAGCATTCGATTTCGTTTCAGAGCCTATTCGTGCAAGAAAATTCTACACTATATTCAATGATTTTTTATTTCAATTTGACGGTATTGCGCCGATGCCAGCTTGTTATGGGTTTGTAATGCAGGCAATACCGTACAATATAAACGGTACAAAACCAGAAGCAAGCCAATACCGTCTTGATTGCGGCACTGGCCGGTTCGTGTCCTATTCAGGAACTTAAAACAACGAGAAGAGCCTAAACCGGACCAATGCTTGTCTTTTTAAGACCAATCATAGCTTTACAGAGCCCAAATCGGACCAATACCGTACCGGCCCTTTTGTGGCAAACCACTACCGGCAAAGCGGTACCTGGCCAGTGCTGATGGTTCTTTTCAGGCAAACCACCACAAAAAGACGGTACAGAGCCTGAACTGGGCCAGTGCCCGCCCCTTCAGGGTAAACCATACCGGCAAGACGGTACAGAGCCTGCATCGGACGATTTAATCCCGGGACATACCGTTATTTCGTTTTACCGTTTTGCATTTCCTCAAAAACAAAAACAGTAAACGCACCGTTGACCGTTTTTTCGTTTTACAGTCTTGTAAAACGGTCAAACGGTCAAACGGTCATTAGGTCACACAAAAACTGTGACCTTTTTGTTGTTTTTCTTGATTGTTGAAAGCGATAAACGGTTAGTTGCTTCATTTCAGAGTGTTGTTTTACAAGAACATGACAATGAAAAACGGTCAATAGTCCTGTCGACCATTTTTTGATTTAGGTTCGGCAATTAAGCAATTCACCTAGGAATGTTAATGCGTCCTCATGGGATCGAGTCATTGCCTGGGACCCAAATTACCCTCCTCACATTTCGTTCTCACGACATAGTGTTCGAACTGGCTATTGAAGAGCCGCGCCGAACTCCAATTTCCTTCAAATATCTGCAACTTCTTCAAACGTATTACCATCCTGTATCCATTGTAAAAAGTAACGTCCCCCCTTGAAGTTTTCCAGCGCCATTTTTGCTTGCAACTCTTACTAAAAGCCCCACCAACTGAATCGCGCGTGAGAAGGGGGTCAGGGTCACGCCAGGAATCACACCACGCATTATGCCGAGGTAACACTTTTTCATGTAAAGCATGGTCCCCCTCCACCCCCCTTGCCCAGCACCACAAAATGCACCACGGACTGCTCACTATTGACACTGAAACAAAAAAAACAGTCTGTATTCAATACTGACCGTTTTGCTGGTTTTCAAAGTTATTTGTGTAAAACTGTAAAACAAAAATCATTGATCGTTATGCTGTAATGAATTTTATTAAACTTATAAAACAGAGAAACCGTATTTATCTTAATACCGTTTGACCGTTTTACAAAACTGTAAAACGACAAAACGGTCAATGGTTTGTTTACTGTCTTTGTTTTGAGGAAATGCAAAACGGTAAAACGAAATAACGGTATGTCCCGGGATTAACCAGTGCTGCAGCTGGTCCTTTTGGGGCAAACCATATACATGTACCGGCAAGACGATACCAAAGCCTGAATCGAGCCAGTGCTGGTCTTTGTAAGGCAAACCATAACTTTACAGAGACCAAATCGGACCAGTGCCGGCCCTATTACGGCAAGCCACTGAAGCCAGCACAAATTGAATCGGGACAATACTGTCCCTTTTTAAGGCAAATCACATCAGGCCCAAAAAAAAGTCTCCGGTTTCTGGTATGGAGCTTGCCAAAAAAAGTGGTGCGGCGACGCGGCTTTTTTTTTTTTTACCTGTTTTTTTTTGCTTCAAATGTAGGCTGATGACTGCAAATGGTGCCCGACTAAACCAAGTGCCAATATTATGGGAGACCAGAGTGGCCACATAAAGCTTATTCTCGATCATAACCCCATCTAAAAACACGTTGAAATTATGCAGCAGCAGGATTCCAGTCAAACAAGTGAGTTTGGCGGTTATGAGACATCATCTTTTATTGGAAAAAAACCCACATTTTTTTATTTTGCCGACGCGCATGGTTACGGCGACGCGCGCGCATACCAGAAACTGGAGACTTTTTGGGGGGGGGGGGGGGGGGGGCTAAAGGCAAGACGGTACAGAACCTGACCCGGGCCAGTTGTGAGACTATAGGCAGGAGGTTGTGGGTTCGAGTCCATCCACAAATATAGACGCTTGTGATTTCCCCCCTCGCAAACCTTCGGACAGCACTGACATAGAATAGATGTACATGTACAATACTTACGAAATTCCGCCAGTACGGTGAAAGGCACCGTCCAATAGATCGTTTGCACTGCAGCCATCTTTGAGGTGTGTGCGCTATGGTGCTAGCGTTTAGGGATACGAGTGCGCATGAGTAGACCTCTCGTACATTCATTGTTAATGTCATTACAAATCACACCTCAATGGAATCGATCTATATTGACGCTCACTGTTCTTGCTGACTTTAATACCAGTGACGGTGTTAGCACCGCCTACCAAACCTGGAATGTCATCAGCCTACTTTTTGGTGTCCACTATACTAATCCTCAAAGAGCTTAATGACAAGAACATCAACTCCACATCCGCTTTCAAGTTTTTATCGAACTAAAATTGACGTCGTTCGACCAACAATTCCCAAACATCGGATTGGTTCAATGAGAATGACAAGGAGATGCCAGCCATACGAGATACACCATCCACATGTATACAGTCCTGTTTGCAGGGCGGGAGTACGAGCGAATAAGTTGTGGCACCTACGCCGAAGGCCAAGGGGGGCGTGCCCCCACGCCCCCCCCCCCTCATCCGCCCCTGACGAATATATGTTTGACGAATCTCGATCATATATAAAAACCTATAACCGTAAATCAGCAGTTTCAATTTCTATCATTACTGCTTTATTCAATGAATGGTACGTATGCCTCAAGAGTTGTTTACTTCACTTGATTGGATTTTTTTTTTAAATATTACACAGACATAAATTATAATTAAAAATATTCTCTGTAACACAAGACATTACTTTGACACAAAGTAGTATTTCATCATACAAGCCAGGTAAAGGTTAGATATTTATGCAAAATACTTAACTATAGTTCTGCTATATGAACTATAGTTAAATAACTTTGACATAGGCCTACGTGTAAATTTAATCTACACCATTTATTCAAGTTTGAATGTATTGTAAATAATGTCTAGAAATTCCTCAAATAATCAATTGCTCATTATCTTAAAGGTAGAGTCCATCATTTGTAATTTGTGCATTTTGTTCGTTTGAAGCAACAAAAAAGTTCAAAATCTAATGAAGGATACTGAGCAACTAACCTGATGAAGTTTCAGCTAAGCTTCAGCTGTACATTCTGAGAAAAACAGCATTCTAAGATCTCAATTTCAAATCAAAAGTTGCTGAATCATGTTTTTGAATTGTTTTGAATTGCAACTATACGCGACGTCGCGCACTGATCCGACGAATTATAACAACCTCACGCGCGTGTGCGTCGTTCGAATACTTGTGCGCGCTGCGCTGAATAACAAAACGAACTACTAATTTAAATTTTCCTACGGTGCTTCTTAAGAATCACCGTTGGAAATGCCTTCTTTCGTTGATTACTTCAAAATGACAGCTTCCCAGAAAGAATAATTTCACAGGGAGTTTAGTCTCCTTACTATCTTTCAACCAAGTTAGTTTTTCAACAATAATTACGCCAGTTACTTTTCGAATGGCTGCAAATGATAGACTCTACCTTTAACACTTGAGGCAACTACACAAATTGTGAAATTTACAGTTTGACCCTAAAACCACACCCATCTCTCGCATTTTCAGAGAGTTCATACCTTCTTAAAGGTAAGTAAGTTCGTCGCTTTTTGTACATTATTTCCCTGTCATTTGAAAAGTGCATAATAAACCTGTGGAGGTTATATTAGTGGCTAATATACATCTTGATAACACACGTAACAAAGTATGCCCCTCCCCGTGGGCATTTTTTTAAAACCACCTTTAATTGTTGTTTTCTTCCGAACGACACATTTCGAGAGGCATAATTTCATGGGATATTTGGTACCATACCAATCTTCACTTTTAATAAGCAAGGTGTTTCTCATTAAAGTGGTAGGTCAGTTTTGGGGTAATTACCAATATGTCCTTAAAGGAGCACTGGGACTATCAATGTGTTCTTGCATGATGTTTACATATGAAAACGTCATAAGTGTCAGTGCCACCAAGTGCGAGTCCTGTACTGTGTAAATCAATGAACCAAACTACCAATAAATGTAATATTTTTCTTAACATTGTGACCCTGACCTTTGATATTTTTGACCCAACAACTAACACAAGCTTTCCTTTTCTTGAGGGTTTCCAACACAGTTTTATTTCGAGTATAACTTGGGCAAGTTATCCTCGCCTCCATCTATGAAGTTTTGACACCAAGTCAAGTTACATGTACACTTTTAGAGTCTGCTCTTCACACAAATCCTTAAAAAGATACAAGTTACTTGAAACCGAATTCCCTTTTTATCATGGTGACCCTGACATTTGAGTCTTTGAACTTTGACACCAAACAAATCTTCAGGGCAATGCTGACCCAATTCCTTGAAAGCAACTGCTCCTTTCAGCAGTGTGAAAAACAAGGAGGTTCGGTCATGCATTTCAATATCCATTTGTGTGTGTTTATCTACAAAAATGTACATGTTATATTTATTAATAAATGTTGACAAGGGAATAAATATGTGCTTGGCCGGTATTAAACAAGTATGTTTAAAACGGGCTTGGGGCCTGGACTTTGACTCTGGCCATTATCGGCAACCAGGGCCCAAGCCGGTTTTAAATGTACTTGTTTAATACCGGCAAAGCACGTATATATTTCCATTCATAAATACCTTTAGGTTAAACAAAGTAAAAAGAAAAGTCAATAATGTAAAATTTCCAACAAATTTGCTCAACAATTTTACTTCATGTTTTTAAACACCCCTCTAGCTATGTTATGGTGTGTGCCTCTCGCGAGTAGTACTAAAAATCTCCTTATATGGAGATTGGCGCGTGTGTGGCGCAATGTGGTGCAGAACACAGCGGTGCTGGTGTAGTTTGAATTTGGGACTTTATGAAATACGGACACATTGGTAGTATTGAGTATGCCTAAGTGAAGATTGAGAATGTTCAACCAATAAAAGTGTCAAAGGGACCAGATTTCATAGGAGTCCAAATTTCATGTGACACCGGAAAAGTGTTTAAAACCAGCCAGCCAGTGTTTTTATCAACTGTTTAAAACCACCCATGGGACGGGCTCTCGACCAATAGGAATGGGTAAACTGTCTTAGGTATTTATGGATCTTATTTAACATACATTTGATTATAACGGTTAATACTTAAATCATCTGTCTGGAGGATGAATGTCTATATACACTGTACATTATTGTAAAATCTCACTAACAGATTCTGTCTCTTGCTTGGTCCAGATCACCTCACATTGTATTCCCCATTTTTACTATTTTGCTGTGAATGATGAAAGAGACTAGAACGGCAGCTCTGCTCTGAAAAAGTACTATATGCATAGCAACCCACATAGCAACCAGACATCCATGTGTGCATGCATACTTAAATCACAATTGAAGTACAACTGTACCTGATTTTGATTCAATTAATCAGATATAATAATTATGTAGAATCTGTGGGTGAGGTGTTACAAAACAACTATTGCCTGCTTTAATCTATGATTCATGGAACATGTCATTTTCCTTTAGCTTCATCTTGGGAAAAAAGGTACACTCTATTGATCACCTCGGGAGGCTAGTTTTACCACATCACTCGAAGCAGTCAATATTTGTATAATATACAAACCACGTCATAATAATTAAATGACTATGAAGTAGCATGCATTTTATTATCAAAAGAAATAAGAGTGTGAAGAATTGCTTCATATATTTACATTTAAATTTTGATAGTTGAATTATGGTTACTACCTGTTACTCTAAAACCTGGGTTAAATTTTCTTTACGGGTTGAATCTTGAACATAGCAAGGACAGTACATCTTTAAAAGGTTTCTGTATCAACAACAATCTAAAGCTTACTTCCTTCCAGACACAAACTTGAATCGTGACTGTACACTTATGAAATTGCACATCCCGTGGTGTTGCCAGGATGCTTGTCTGTTTCTTCTACAGGAATTTCCTTCACAGACTTCACAGTATCTTCTTTGTCATTTGCTTTCTGAAATGTACACAAAATTGCCATCAACAAAATATAGGTCAGGCATTCATAATCAAGACATTAACTTTTCACAAATACCATCTTAATGCTGCCAACTGTATTTTGCATTACTCCAATTTGTAACATATAAAAAAAACATCAAAAAAAGATAAATTCCATTGAATTGGTCTTAAAGAAGTAATTTTGTAGTATGGGCTTTGCTTTGACAAATATACTTGAGCCCATCTCTCCTGGCTTGTACTTTGCCCACTAAAAGAAGACAAATCAATAACCAAAAAGGGAAAGGAAAAAACCTGCATGTTTGGAATGACTACAAAGGTAGCATGGATGACTGAGGAAGGTACATTTGTGGACATTTGGACAAAAACATATTAATGTCTATTAACAATCATTCAAATAGTTGACATGGACTTATTAAAACAGCACTAAACATCCTACCAGAATTGTGACGTTCTACATTTACCTAAAACAACATTGGTTTTATATTTGGCCTAGGATAGCGTAATGTCACTGATCTGGAATAGTGACTTGTCTATTTTATAAAAACGAATGTGACATCATTTTTATCACTTATACTGTCAGTACATGGTGCAAAACGCCAGCACACGCCTTGTGCATATCATGTCCAGCAAGAAAGCTGACAGTAATCAAAGATTGAATTCATTTATTGTACAGTAAGCCACAACTGATGAGCACCATGATACGACAGAACATCCATCTGGAAGGTGCTATTTTGGTTCTAAAATTAATTTCCCAGGAAATTGTAATAGTTGGGAAAAATTATGAAAAAGAAGAATACAATAGTCCACAGAGTATACCTTGAAATCTGTGACTTTTATGTCATTATTGCACTAAAGGAGTTTGGGGTATAATAATTTGGTCCTGAAAAATCGAGGTGATAGTTTTGATTCCAATTACTCATGTTTCTTTAAAAAGTTGCTTCAGACACACCTCCCCTCAAAGATTTTACTTACTTGCTATGCACTGCATTGGGCGCTAGTTTGATGCCGATAGCTGTAGCTAATAATGCAATGGCTATGCACTGCTGTGAATACGTACAGGCAATAAAAAAAGTGATGCCTCAGATGTAACCAAACAAGCTTTTTCAATATTTCTCCATCAATGGAAGACATTAAGTGAATTTCTTGTGACCCAGACCTTTGAAATATGGTTGGTAATTCATTAATTACCTCATTTGTAGGAGAAGTGACAAAGCCATTGTAGACAACAGCAGACCACTCAGGGGTCCTTACAGGTACTTCATACTCCACTGGGTTGGCTAACCCAAACTTCATTTTTGAGTCTATTTCAGGAAGCTCTTCTGGAACTTTCTCATGATATCTACACAAAATGTGTTAAAAGCAAACTATGATATTAGCTTGATTCCTGCTGATCATAGAACAGGACTCCCTGAGGGGAAAACCAAAAGGTTCAGTTTGCACTTACTACTCAAGTGAGAACATGATCTTTGTTTCCTTGAACTGATTTAAATATATGTATGTTAACTCTTCAACCATTAACATCCTTATTGGAAACCAAGAATTTCTGGATAGAGCAGAATCTTTTATTATCATTAGGCTAGTTGGAATCTGGGTGACACTCATTAAAAGTAACTTTTTTTGGAGGAGTATAAAAATGAAGCTTTTGGGAGTGATTCACTCATCAATTAGTAGCTTCTCTCAGGTTTGATGACACAAGGGCACTGTATATGGAAGCCAGTATATGGAAGGCCTATGGATCAAATCTTAACATTTGGAGATTGCACGCTACAATCCCGGTCAAAATGGTTGGGATACATGACAACAAGCATACCGTCCCCGGTCCAGCCTGTACCACAGACCGCGCAATGAGAGACAACATTGACCGGGGGCCGGGGAAGGGTGGGCCAGCGAGATGTGGCCGGGATTGTAGCCTGAAGTCAATGACTTCTGAGGACATTCATTCAACATTCTGTGTGCTGACTGCTGACCTCAAGGGCAGCTAATTCACTCATCCTCAAAACTCAGATTTATTTCAGGTTTTTGGTTGCTGCAGAATGAGGCCTTTCCACCTGAGCAAATGGATCTTGTGGCCCTGATGTATGGAGGCCATCCACAACTATAATGTACATGTTCCTTGCAATTTATAGCTATTGTGAATCAAATCAAGTGTAAATAAAAAAAGCTTTAGAAAACTGAAAATATATACTTACATCATGCCATTTTCTCTCTCTGTTTTCTCCAGAATTCTATGTACGATGGGTCCCAAACGCAAGAAAAAGGGATGTTGCTGCGGTTTGGCTACTACACCAGGACCTTTGGTTTTTGCATACTCCTTGGCCAAACTATCTGCCTTCTGAAACACTATCATATATTTAGCAAACAAAGAAATACAGGTACATTAGAAAAATTGAATTTATTAGTATTTCACAGAACTGAAAACAAGTGTGAATGAAAAAAACAGCAACGATGTCCGATGAGTAATAAAACACCAACTGATTTTCATCTGGAAGCAGCATCATATTGCAATGCAATATTCACACCTACCAGTATATATTTGTCCTGAATTGCTTAAGATGGATCAGGTTTCATTAAAATCAACTGTAATTGTTCTTTACTTACATGCCATGCTTTCTTTTAATGATCTGACAGCCTCTCCTCCCTTATCTTTGGCCAGTAATGCATTGCCATTGTAGCAGTGTGCCTAAACAATTGATTGAAAACACACAAGTCCACTATGGATTAAATATGGATTTCCTATGTGTAAAATTAATATTTTGTTGTCAGTTTTTAAAATTCTTGCTTTTGTCCTTTTATGTCCGATTAAAGGGTTTTTAAACATACTTCAAATAAATTATTTGTGATATGTAACAACATAATGAGACTGGCAAGAACCCAACACTGAATTTACATGTCACCCTGGCGCAAATTCCATCTTATGAATAATGAGACTGCTTACGTTTGTTCCATATCGGTGTTTATTGAAGAAGAATTTGGCTGGGCGGCAGCACAGCTGGGTTCATGATTGGGGTTAAAGGCAATCTACCTTGAGTTGTCATGTTGAAGAACTGGGTCAAATATTTGGGCTCACTAACCTGGACATGTCTTTATTCAACATGTTCCAGAAGCTAATATTAAATGTTCCAGAACACCAGAAATATGCTGATTACAGTATTATATGGTCTACTGATGTTCAAATTAAGAACTACAGATAATTTCAGATTTCTGCATTGGACATGCTGTTAATTTGTATTCTGAGATTACAGCACATCAAGAATAAACAAGTAATTGTTCTAAACACAACCATGACAGACCCCAAAACCTTCAATATAAGTGAAGTAAATACCCACATATGACTGGTAGAAGACACTTTTGAATTGAAAGTATTTCCTCCACTTCATAACCAGCTTTTCATCCAGGGATTTGATTGCATCATCAGCAGTCGTGAATAATCTACTTGTCTCAAGGGATAAGGCTGCAATGAGGCTGGTGGTGTGCTTCAACTCAATAGCCCTTGCAAGAGTCACTGGAAATTGAATAGTACCATTTATTTATTTCACAACTTCGCCTGTAAGGTACAATTATCAAGTTATGGTGGCAAATTTACTGATTACTTTGAGAATAAATGGTAAAATCTGTGTTCATCAGTGAAGCATAAAAGTGTCCAGGATCTCATTTAAGAAATACTGAACATTACCTGATGAGCCAGTGATTTAAAAGAAGCTGGCCTAAGTACTTTGTACAATGAAGTTCCCATGCCAAAGTTAAAGGACACAAACCTTCTTGTGCTTCAGCTTTACACTGTATCTCATATGCAGACAGGATTCTCTGATCTAGATCGCAACCATCGCCAGGTGTTTCATACAACTTGTTCAGCATATTATCCTGCAAGAAAAATACCAATCACAATTAAAATTCATATTGAAGAGTGCCAATAAATCCAGAGGGACCAACAAAATAGCTTGGTTACACTCACAGGCAGTGGTAATATCATGCTAAACCCTCAAAGAACATTGTATAAAGAAACAAATTTCCTGCAGGAGTTAATTTATTTATGGGGAACTCTACATGGAGTGGAGTCTCGGTCAGCATAGCAATATCCACATCATTGTTCAATGTAAATTAGACACCATGGTGGCCTAATGAAAACTGAACGGCATTCAGAAGGAAGATGTTAATAGGGGGTGGTGTCGGGGTAGGATTTGGTGTTGGTCAAGGAAGGGGGGGGTGGTTTGACCTTTCCACTCTGACATTCTTGACAGGCATCGTTGTTTTTTTAAGCAATATATTTTCCAGCAATATGGCTGCAGGTAGGCATGGTGTTGCCCTCGTGGTTACAAGGTGAAAAGTGCAAGAGACTTCTATGACGGACTTGAATTTCACTCAATAAGAACCTTTTCATTCGGAACATTTTCCAACATGTACCGGATTGTACTGAAATGGCAAATTATGCTTTTTGCATGCACTCATTCTGTTTTTATTTTTGTATGGTTATATTGAAAACGCTTTTATAGATGTTGTTAATTGAACAAGATGGTGAAGTCATTTCTACAATCATGTTTGTGACATGATCCTTCAAATGGACAAAACGTGACCATGAGTCATCACATAGTCATACATGTCGTCATCATCATCATCATGGCCTGCAAATCGTAGTCGATGATAGTAGCACATAACGCCACAGGAGAACTGCAAAATGAAGTCTAAATGGCTTGTACTCGAAGATTTCTGATGTCTCCACTCCCTTCTCTTGACACAAAAATTGATATACTTCTCGGCAGATACATGCGAGCCATTGCAAAGTCTATCGTGCTACAGCAAGCGTTCTTGTGTCATTTCTTCCCATGATGAAAGAAGGATGTAGAACACAGTGAGGTCGCGTTTGATTACGTCCTTATACCGTAGCCTTGGGTTACCAGGGGGACAGGGGGAATCTGCTAGCTCGCTGTGGATGATGTTTTTCGGGAGCCTATCTACAAACATGGCCAGTCCAACGGAGGCAACGAGCTCTAAGCATGGTATACATATCAGAAGACCATATCATTTCCAAGATCTTGTCATACATGTACAAGCACATTAACTCCACCTTCTACATGTAAATACCCAAATTCTTCCTCCCTCATGAATTGGTTTACCTCAATATGCTTGAAAATACCAGCTGCCTCACGCAAACTTCTGTGGACTTCTTTGGCATCATCTTCAGATATTCTAATATGTGCAGGGAGATAACGAGTACATATTAGCTACCTTATACATATAATGTACTTCATTTAATGGCATGTACAAGCATGTTTTTTAAACGGTTTATTTACAGGAGGAAATTCATACACATTTTATTTGTGTTTTTAATCCATCATCCATGTTCCATGAATTTTCATGAAAAGCTTTGGCTACAGATTCCTTATTCCAGAAGGTTTCACTCAAGGATTAATCACACTACTCCAGAGAAGCACAATAAATACCAGTGGACCAAATGAAAACAATTCAGTTTTTTGTTCTAGGAAATTGGTGACACTTTTTAAAAAAGATAGTTGCTGTACAATTACTGGTGTTCCCAAGAGGATAAGTTCAAGTTGACTGTGCATGTCCAATATACATGTACATCTATACAATTTACAGTGTACATTTTCTACTATGGATACACACAGCGAACATGCCAAACCTGAACCCCATTACAAATACATCTACATGTAACTGCATTGTTGTAGAAGAATCTAGAAGAACATAAAAATGAATTTTGTTGTCACCAAGAAACTGACAGTATAGGATGAAAATGTTATTCCAGAATTGCAGGGTGTTAAGACTTTGGACAATTGATAATGTGGTAAAACTGCAAGATGACTGAAGGGGAGACTACACACACATGTACCAAGTAACTCCTCAGCAACAGAAGCTAGAAATAGTGAAACCATCTTACTTAATTGTGGATATGTTAACACTTTGGTGAGCTTGTTCATTCTTCACTATTAACAGACAAACATTTTAAATAAAGAAAAAGCAGGAAACATTTTATGTTTTAAAATGAAGGAAAACTTACTCGTCACTGCTACTTGACAGCTTTGCTGCGTGCTTAGTCAACCACAGAGCAATGTTGAAAAGCATATTTATTTGCTCAAAGAGGAAGTCATTCTGGGATCTAGATGAAATAAATATATACCACTGTTCAATAGAAGGAAACCTTCAACTATATCCAATATATGTATCAATGCATACATTTTTCATAATTTTCATCAGAGTGTGATCTGTCTACAATTTGAAATTCTGACTGCTTACAAACCTGTAACAAATGAGGATTGATGTTTGTTTACCACACAATCATGTACACAGCTACATTTACTTTGTGACATATATGTACATGTACAGTACACCTGGGCTAAAGTAGGCTACTATGGAGTTTTAAGTAAAACCCTCTGCAGAAAAATGTCTATTACACAGTGTCTATTACAAAGTCTATGTAGTTACATGTAAGTTACATTTTATATGTTCCTGACATGAACACAATTCAGTGGTCAGTGTGTGATGGTGTCTGCCTACATGTACCTCTTCAAAGGATGGGTACTGGAGGCCCCCCCCCCCCTCTTGATGTCAAAAATGAAGACAATCATGTTCATAGCATTTTTCCCTCCATGATTGCCCAATTTGGAACGGTCCATTTACACATTGATTCTTTCATTGATCTTCACTTTCCTTGATTTTCTGTTCTGGGTGACATATTGCCAAGATTCAAAAAAGGAAATGTTTCTAAGGGCCTTTAAATATTCAATAACTCAGCAAGATTGAAAGAGTTTTAAAAAGTTCTCCTGAATGCAGGCACATTATGGGTTTATATGTTGCAACATCACCAGTCAGTTTTGGGCTCTTTCATAAGGAATCAATCAGTTTCAGGTTGTTTTGTTATTACTTAACTGGATGAAATTCTTACATTTCATGACAGTGTTACATTACCGGTTGATCACAGACAGGGATGAACATCACAGACAGGGATGTAGATCAGATATCATGGCTTTGGTGTATTCAAAATCTCGCTAGGAAGGGGTTACTGTTGAGCAGTCAAAATGAGGGGGTTAAAAGTTTAAAGGAAAATAAAGTTGAACCAAATTTTATACTCACATGTTTTTTCCTCCCAGTGAATTTGTCCATGTGATTTTGACAGCATTGCGAAGTTTACTCTGTCCAGTGTTTTTGCCTGCTCCATCACTGTTCGTTTCCTGTAGTGTCAGTTTACCCACATCTTCTCCTGTCTGCTGCTGGGGCTGATCAGTGCTTGTCTTGGAGTCCTCTACTGCTGTTATGAATCCTTCAAGGTAGCTCATATACCTCTCACTAGCCTTTTTCACTACTGACACATCGTGACCTGGATTCGGCAAGAGGTCTAGAAGTTGTGCACGTGCCACACGGATATCACTTCATAAAAAATAAAATAAATACAGGTGTACAAGCATTACATACACTGTGTAGACTTCCAAACAAAAGATGTCCACATAAACCAGGAAGCAGCGACATTGTGTGGACTTGCCCACGTCCACAAAAGGCTTTCCCCTCTCTGGAAAACAGGTTTAGAGGCATATTGGGGTTAGGTTTATCCGTGGCAAAATGAAGAGAAACACTAAGGCCCCCCAAAAAGTCTCCTGTTTCTGGTATGGAGCTTGCCCCAAAAGTGGTGCGGCGACGCGGCTTTTTTTCTTCTTCAAATGTCGGCTGATGACTGCAAATGGTGCCAGACTAAATTTAGTGCAAAATATATGGGAGTCCAGAGAGGCCTTAAAGCTTATACTTGATCGTAATTCCATCTAAAAACACGTTAAAATTGTGCAGCAGCAGGATTCCAGTCAAACCAGTGAGTTTGGCGGTTGTTGCGACATCATCTACATTGAAAAAAAACCTTTTTCATTTTGCCGACGCGCATTGCTACGGCGACACGCACATACCAGAAACCGGAGACTTTTTTTTGGCCTAAAGGGAATCATAGACAAAAATTTGGGTTGAAATAGTTTCCACAGTTTGAGAAAAATGAGGTTTTTTTCACTGGTTTTTCTTAAAGGTATAGTCCATCATTTGTAATTTGTGCATTTTGTTCGTTTGAAACAACAAAACTGCTCATAATCTAAAGAAGCTTACTGAACAACTAACCTGATTCAGCTTCAGCTGTATATTTCGAGAACAACATTCTAGGATCTCGATTTCAAATCAAAACTTGCTGAATCATGTTTTGAATTGGGCCTGAATTCATCGTCCGTGACCCGTTCTCACTGAGCCGATTGCAGCTACGCGATGTCGCGCAATGATCCGATGATTTTTAGCAACCATGCACACGTGTGTGTCGTGTCAACGCTTGCGCGTGATTCGCCGAATAATAAAAAACGAACTACTAATGGAAATTTCCAACAGTGCTTCTTGTTACGTTGACTGCCGCGCGTAATTTCACGGGGTGTGCCCATTTGCCAAGCGTTGTACGCTTGTGTGCATACTTAATAGGTCCTTATATGTTGTAGTGCATTCATTTCTAGTTACTCTTTGGGGAAAAAATATCTACGAGATAACTTGTAGGCTGGCAAATGCATAGAGTTGATTATTCCGGTTTGCCAGCTAAGAGTTATCTCGTTCCTCGTCACTACGAGATAACTCGTAGGTTGGCAATGGGGTAACAAACTTCTTTGCTTCTCCTTGACAGTTATGCAATATATATATATGGCATTCTGCGAAAATTTTCACTGTCGTTGCCATTGGATTGCATGTTACATGAACTGAGCCATCCTTGCCACATTCATTATTACAAAATGGCGCAGCTCAGTGCGGACAGAGTGGCATATCTCATGATGAATTCTGACAGCGCTAGCGATGATGATGATATGGATTCTGTTGACGAATCTGACGGAAATGAAACTTCAGAAATGCCCACGAATGACAGTGATTCGGATGAATCACAAACTGGTGAATGTAGTGATTCTTTGTCTGATGGAAGAAGCGATCCAGCGATTTAGACTCGAATGTTTCAAGTGGCATCAATACACTGCCAGTGGCACGTGGACGGGGGAGAGGTCGCAGGGTACGGACGAGAGGCCAACCACGTGGTCACGGGTTCGCACTAGAGGAGGACGTGGCCATGGAGCTGCTGCAGGCAGAGGAGCAGCTCCTGTTCAAGCAGCAGCTCCAACTTGAGCGGCAGCTCCAGCTCAAGCAGCACGCAGACCCGGCAGAGCAGTTGGAGAAGGAAATCGTGCGCCTGCTGCCTCGCCTAACTGGTCAAATGTAGTCCGAAAATTTGGGACTCTCAATACTGTGTATGAGAGTCCCAAAACTTAAGGTATCCATATTGTGCAAAAGTTTGTGCTGCATAATAAAACCAGTGTGAATCAAATGTGCAAGCTTCTTACTCACTACAGTTTCTTCAATAATCCCCGAAACTTCTGCCCTGCAAAGTTGCTGTTGTGAGCATTGCATCACCAAATGTTCAGCATTTTATTCTAATTTTGCAGGGAGTTATCGAAATCCAAAAGCGAAACATCACGTTGATGTGTACTGCAATGAATTGTGCAAAAAGACTCCTCAGCTAAAACATTTTCATCGTGTAGATAAAACAGCGCCCTCTTGTTGATCTGAGTGAATGCAGAATGTTTCATTTTTTAACAGAGGGCGCTATGTTCATTTGGCCATCGATTAAAAAACAAGTAAGCTGCAAGGCTCTTCCTACACCTACCCAGAATACCTTGGAAATCACACCACCATTTCTAAAGCATGGAGAATGACGTGGATGGTTTTTGAACTGTCAAAAACTTGCCTTAAAATTTGATTTAAGGTCTCAAATTTTGCAGGTGACATGCTTGCAACTATATCATTTTGATGTATGTGTTGTGTGGGCATTAATAAGCTGAATGGTGAGTAAAAAAACGTCAGTAGTAATTTTGCACGTTTTTATGCACTCACGGTCCCAGTCTGGGTCAAATGTTGCCCAAGATCCACCAGTTTTTATTTTCAGGGAAAAATCTGGTCTTCGCAATCCAGTGCAAGGTGCTTCACCTGGTGACTAGTTTGATTTGTTCGTGACACCAGAGTTACTGGATATCATGGTAACAGAGACGAACAGATATGCGGCAGCAGAAATAAACAAACAAAGGCCATTGCGACAAGCGTCCCGTTTTCATCAGTGGAAAGACACCGATACAGCAGAAATGAAACAATTTCTGGCACTTTTGATTCACATGGGTCCCAACAACTTACCTTCCTTAGAGCACTACTATATATCTATGACATACTTGTTTATTGAGAATGTCGCCAACTAGTTTGGTAGGTCCAATAATTTTAAAGTGGATTTTGTTTCCTTATACTAGGAACCGGGCCCTACACTACACAATCACCACTCAAGATAGTAGGCCCTAGTATAGACCCGTGAACGTGGCGTTGTATACAACGCCACGTTCTTGTTTCACTTCGAACCTGGCGAAATCGATCCGACACACATAATTCCGTATGGGTGTTGAGTACTCACCTAGAAATCTAAATTTGCCCGTCCGATTGTTTAGGCTGTGTAATTTCGACGAAATTTGCCCATCAGTAAAGACCCATACGAACGTGTAGAAATTAGATTTTAACCTGACCCTGACAAATAACCCCGGATGCGTCTGAGTCGCTTGGACAGATTGACGGCTGTTTCATGTCGCAACCCCGAAAAAAAACCTCGCAGACGATTGGCTGCTCGGCTCATCTCGTGTACAGTACGTGTGTGCACACACACGCGGGCGCACGTGCGACCGCGTGCGGTGCGGTGAGAGAGGAAAGGACTTGAAACTTGTCTAAAACGATGTCTGTTTTAGCTGCGACAGTAAACAGCCGTCGAATCATACGAAAATAAAACGCAATGCGCATGCGTCAGTTGGGAGAAAATGGCAGCTAGCAGTAGCGGACGGACTTCATGAACCGGGGCCAGAATTTTCCTCAATGTTCGTCAAATGCAAGTTTTGACGTACAAATAGAATTCAAGACAGCTTCATATGTGAGTACTTATTACATGGGCAAAATAACGTCCAGTGTGTGTAACGGAGGGAGTCAGAGGGACACGTTCGCCAGGTTCGAAAATAGACAACAGCGTGGCGTAGTTTACAAGCCACGTTCACGGGTCTAGCCCTAGTATAACATTTTTAACATCATTTTTTTTCGTTGCTTATAATGAACGCAGTGGCTATTGTTACGGCAGCCGTAACGCATTTCCCATTTTCTATCGTTACGGTAGACTGCAACCTGGCAACTTTTATAAAAAAACATGACAAGAAAATATAAAATTAGAAGGAAAAAAGTGAATTTGAACTTTATGAAATTCGGACTTTATTTCCCTTTTAAAAAAAATCCTCAAAAGCCTCAGGTTAGAAAAGGTAAAAAATTTGAGTGCAAAACTGAGATTCGAACCCGCAACCTCGCGGTGCAAAATCCTACCCTCTATCGGCTGAGCTGGCGCACTGCTTGATAAAACATGTGGAAACAAATAATTATATACCTGCGTGCGTATCAAAAAAATATCGTAGAGGGCGCTAAACAACGAGTGCCGTAACGATAGCCACTTCGTATAATGAATGGGGTCTTAAAAAGGAACTAATGCCCTGTATGAGGGCTTACCAAATTAAAAGCCAACCTGCTGGAATCCCGTGAGTATGACCTAACTATGGTATGACTCATCATCATACGGATACACACGAACATGTTGAACATCCACGACAACATGAAGAATAAGATCACAAGCATCACGACAATTAGCTCTCACGGCCATGATCGTTGTTCTTTCTTCCATCGGTTCCCAGCTGTCTTACTGTTTACATACCTACAAACTTTCCTTGCTGATGAAGTTGAAGCCTGACGTCCAAGATCAAAATTTAATGGTGCAGTTGCCTTCAGAGGATTTCTGTGGAACCAGTGCGCCATGTTGACATTCACTCATTCGTCATTAGCTGGCTAGCTAGCTGTGCATTATAGAGTGCAGCTAGACTTCGCCCAAGTCGACCGCGCGACTGGGTGCCGTGCTAAGCTTGAGACTTGAGTTTTTGGTTAACGCGCGCCCTCACGCGTCAGTTCCAGACCAAATGATCTTAAAATAAAAGAAATTATGCTGTATTGATCTTCATTTATACCGAGATCATTGGTAGAAGACACTTTTATATGTCACTTTTATCCGTTATTTTGGCTAAATAATCCTTTATTACTGATTATTTAATTTGATATTAAGCATTACTTACCAACGAAATTAGACGACCTAACGTTTCGATCCACTGTTCCTCCCTGAAGTTCACCCGGACTGATGTATGGGGGGAGGGGGGAGGAACGACCCCCCCCCCCCCATGAAAAAAAGTTGCTTCCATTTGAAATTTGGCAACTACAGAGAAAATCACAGTCCCTACAAGTTACCAAATTTAATAGGGGGGTTTTATAATAGAAAGTGCCCTTTTCTGCGATTTTGTGTTGGGTTTCACGGAAACCCCGGTTTTTTTTCGAGAACGGGGTTTTTATTTTAGCGTCCCGTGCAAAGCGAATAGCGCCACCTATTGTCTGGCATTGACAATTATGTTGGCTGTGAACACTGTACAGCGCCCACATAGGTGTTCGGCTCCAATTCGGCTCCAAGTTCCAATTCCAGTTGAATATCAGACCAGACGCATAATTGTTACAATTAATTCGTTATTACGGATAATTTCATCCATAATTACGATTTTTTTCAATTACGGATTAAATCATCCGTAATAATTATTAATCCGTATTTTGGATTAAATAACCCGCTACAACGAATTGTGGCACTAACGCATCTTTCATAATGTATAAAAGAGAATGCTGTAGCATGCTGCACAGTTTATGAACAGCGCCCCAAGCATGAAATCCCCCTCCCCATAGGATCTAACATCGTTTATAATAGGACAATGCACACATTACACAACCAACGTAACATTCCTACGAATTCCTAAACTAAATAGAATATAGCCCCAATGTGTATGAGATACAAGAGTGATTCATCATCTTCCAATTTCTGTCCTTGTGGGGATAATAATGATTAAGAAAAATTAATTGCAGAACTAATAGACTGCATGCAGCCAATTTAGTCAACAGGCAGCTTTTAAATTCGCGAGGCAGCTTCAAGTTTGTGCTCATTGAAGGGAAAAATACGCCTATTCATTTTCCTTTCATGCTATGCTTAAGGTTCCTTTAAACACTGAAGTGATCATGTTGGGCTTATACTTATAGTGCATATTGCCTATATATAAATAGTAGTGGTTCGATATTGCGATATGGCAGGATCTAGTCTTGGAGGTTTGTGGCATTATAGCTATTGATCGCTCTGGTTTTCAAAGAATAAGGACTTTTAGCTAGTTGTTTGTTGCCTTTGTACTGCTCAACAAAAAAGGAGAAACGTAAATCCCTTAATCGATTTGGCTTAGTTATTCAAGCTGGCATAACTTGCGTCACTGCCGAGCGAAAGCTTCAAGGTACAGAACTGCCTTGCCAACGCACAAACACAAGCAACTCTGATCGTACTATTAATCAGTAATTAATGAGGCGCGATCGAGTCAACAGCTCCACGGGTGCCAACAGCGAAGCAACAAAAACTTGCAACAGCAACATCTAACGAGTCGAAAGTAGAAGTTACTAAAGGTAGGCCTTTTGAATTTGTTTTAATTTCAAGAAGAGGCCCATTCACTGTTGTTTCCTGTTGATGATTTATGTTTAGATAATGGCAATATGCCTAAAGCAGTCGAGTTTCGTTTTGATGGAGGTTGTCGGGGCGGTTGCGTACACAGTGTTGCAGATGCGAGGAAACGAAAAGAGTTCCATGAGTGCATGGGTTATGAAGGGACAACATAATTATAGTGACCATATGCACAATATTACTACATTAACTTGTAGTTAGACTTCGAACTGAGTCTTGCTCCTTGTGGCAAATGCATATAAATTAAGTGAGAACGTATACTTGTAATACATGTATAGGCCAAGGGCGGATGGGGGGGGGGGGGGCAACTGGGGCCATGCCCCCCCCCAAAAAAAAGAACCCAATTTTTTTTTTCAAGTGACGTCGCAGTAAAGGCAGGCACTGTGTGCACCACCATCTGTTCCTTAAAAAAAAAATAGGTTAAAGTGGTCAGAAATTGCCTGAGATCGCACCACAGAGCATTTAGAATCCAAAAAATTGTCAGGGCTCTTAAGCGGGCCCCGAAACACCCCACCGTAATTTTCTGGACATACTTTTGGGACCAAAAATGTTTTGATCCACAAAATTAATGTTTTGGTCCCAAAATTGTGTTCTGGATCCGCCCTTGGTATAGGCATCAACAACGCTTTCAACTGCTGATCACATGTTCATTTTATGACTTTCTGGGTTTTTCACTCTCTCAATGATGCAGGAGTAGAGGAAGGGGATATAACTTCTCGAGAAATTGCAGCACAACTCAGACGATCTGATTAGGTACAGCTGAATCAAGATCTACGTCGCAACATGTAAAAGTTACACACAAATTTCACACCAGTTACAAACGCAGCAACTTTTTGAAAAAGCAGCAACTTTTTGAAAAAGCAGCAATGGCCAATGGTTCTTACCGATTGGACTTAAAGAGAGACGATGCACGGACACTGATGCTGAAAATGGACGCTCGTCTTACATACGCCGGTCGGGAGCGCAATGCGGCCTATCAACTCGAGGGAGAACGAGAGATAAAGCACATTGACTACGCTCGCCATCTGATCAACGCTGACTTCAATCGGGAGAAACGTCAGATTGAGCGACGTCTTGAGTACTTCCAGACTCTCCAGGAACATAACAATGACAGACGAAAAAAGAGGGACATTGCCTGGTGCGAAGAGGAGGAGAAAGACTGGGAACGGCAGGCAAGAGCAGCTAGACGACGAAGGACCCTCCCGAAGATTAGGGTCCACAAGAACCACAAAGCTGAGGTCGTGGGATCCATCCGAAGAGATCAGAAAAGGCAATTTGCAAACAAAATGTCGCATGAGATGCATCTAAACAGGTCTCTGAATGCGCTGAGTGATTCATACGCAAAACATCAAGCCATCACGAAACAAAACGAAGGAATCATTGAACAACGTAGTGAAAACAGTTTACCCGCTGGACAGAAAGCAGAAACTGGGCAACGTTTACCTTCCATCAAACCCACAGAGAGCCAAGGAGAGCCTCAGATATCCAAATCCAAGTACGGAATACCGACACAAACTATCAGTCTACCGGAGGTGCCAGTTTGCAAAGTGGGGCCACAGAAGAGTTCACTTAGTCAAATGATATCTTCAGGTGAGGTCTGTAAATTGCCGGACATGGTGCCAATCGAAAGGCATCCATCCAGTACAAGTGGCCCTCCTCCAAAATTAAACCTTGCACGGACTTTTTACATGAACACCAGTTCAAACTCACAAGGGACGAGCACAAATCAAGATATTACAGCCAAGTTCAACCGCAGTAGACGCCGGGTGTCTTTAGTGGACCCTTCGGCCGATGCGTCTAGCAGACCCACAGCCCACTCCCGCCGCAGAGTTTCAATTGTGGATCCATCTATTCAGAGTAAGAAGCGTTTGGCTCCAAATCTGGCCCTTGGTCCGCATCAGCAGTTGCCTCTCAGATTTTATGAGATAGAAAATAACCCGTTCCTGAATGAGAGCGACAATCCTGAGATCAACCGTTCGAATGACCTGATTCGCGCGGATAAAAGCGACGAAATGTACGTGTGGCTCGGGTTCGATTCAGAGGAAGAATTTGAGAGGTTGAAAAGAGGCGAGTTGGTGCTCGAGTTTGATGACGACGATGGATCAGACACGAGCAGCAATGCGGACCATCATCTGACTGGCGAACGCCTGCCAGAATTACACGAGAGTGTTGATGTAAGGCCTAGCAGAACCCCAGAGGACCTACCAAAACGGACAGAATCCAAACTGAGCGCCCCGAGAATACTGATAGCTTCGGCCGGGGCAATGGCTGGCATGAAACCGCTGCAGAAATTTGCATCTGCAGCCAAAATGGTGATGGTCGTCCGACAGTTTCAGACCAATGCCATAAAATAATGTACATGTATTTCTAAATGTTTAGGTTAACTGTTTCTTCACAAAACGTCCACCCGAAACATTGATTTGGGCTCTGATGCGTGAAGCAATCGTGTAGAAATTCTGTTTGTTGGCATGAGTAATGTGAAATAGCAATATATACTGTTTCATAATTAAACTACATGTATAAACAACATACATCTATTATTGTGTTTGAGAGGGGTGACGGGTAGACACAAAATAACCCAGGAACTTTCGGACAATAGGGATGATAGGCGCTCTTCAAGGCGGTACAATATTCGCGCGACGTAAACAAGGGCACTAGTGAATTAAAGGCGCTCGTGAAAATGGTACTCGTAAAAAAGGGCATTTCTTTGAAAATATTGCGTTGCAATATACAATTTCAGTCCGTTGACCCACTTCACCGTTCCGATTTTGCTTCTATCAGCGTCCCGATTGTCCGTTTAATATCTTCATCCCGTTCCAATCTGTCACTCTGCACCCCCTGGTTCCGCTTCTGTTCATTATGGACATTCCTATTGCAGGAAAACAAGACAAAGCATACAAAATTGGACCAGTGGGTGTTCCCGGCTGTAAACGTTTTACGAGTCAAACCTATTAATTCCAATTTTCAAGTTCGTCAAAGAATAATTTCACACGCATTTGGTAAAATTAAATTAGTTTTTTATCATTCAACTTCACAGCTTTGGCAATCTATTATAAGAACAAGGTCATAAAAAAGATAGTCCAAACCGTTGAACTCGTCTCCCCTGTTTCAAAATGCAAGCATTCGCAACCCGAATGCGTCTGGTAATCACTTTAATACCACTGTCAAGCAAGTTAGTGTTGTGAGCTTAAGAATATTCCTTGTACGTACTCCGCACAATTCGGCACATTCCTTCCATGATATCAGACCAAGGTGTATACTAAACGCAAAGAACATTACAGTTATTTAAAGAAAGTGAGCAAAAAATTGTTGGCCCATGTCAATACTATACATGGCACACGAAATAATATGCATGACGAAATTGAACAAAATTATGATTAAATGGTTAGGCTTAGACGAAACGAAAGGCCTACGTTTATAGCCGGGAAAACCTAAACACGAAGCATGCAAGTATCAAGTTCCATCTTTAAAACTTTGTTCGGATATTGGAAGAGTTGAATTGCACCACAATTTTCCCAGCGACTTAAGGGGTATAGTTGTTCGATCAGACGAGCGAGTAAACGCATCGTTAAGACAGTTGTTCATAATACATGTTTTCACGTCCAATTTTGCAACTTGTTCATGCAGTCCTACAAATTATGCATCCATTTCAGGATGTTTAGGGAGTCGGTATATATAACGAACAAAAGTTGGCGACATTTCTGCTAACTTGATCACAAGTGAAATCAGACTTGGATCTGGGAGTAACATCGGTCTTTTTAAACAGTGTGTTGTCGGCAAATGTCGGACATTTTCCTTTATCAGATTGACACTTTACATTTTTAAGATAGCTGTATGTTCAAGTGCATTTTTCATAATTCCTTTTCAATTATTCGTATTTCACCTGTAATATCTCTACATAATTCCTTTCTAAAAATTTCTCGAAAGTCATGTTTTGAAATCTATTGGTCTCAAGCTAGTTTTGATTAGAACGAGAATTAATATAGGACGTTACAATGACGACAATCTTGCTTGTTTAACTGCAAATTTCACTGAATTTGTTTGGTTAACATACCGGTAATGCATACATTCTCATGAAATGAAATGGAGAAGTAATTGCTGCCTATACTTTTAAGGCGTGAATGGAGATACCCTGAACTTATGCTAAATTGAGTTGAAAAAAACTCGTACATTTTAAATTTTACTGAGAAGTTTTGCATAACCGAGTGACCAAGTTGTAATATTGCATGGGAAATGGCAACTGGTATCATTTATGCCACTGTAAAATAATTTACTCTTTGCCATTGACGTTTTGTATTTCGGAATACAAAGAATTGTTTAATAAATTACCAACGTATAACAACTGAACCACGCCTCCATTATCAACTCAGCTTCTTGAAACACACTTTAGTTCTAGAATAAAAAAGAAAGAATGCGCGTTATTGGCCTAGAGAAGAATATACGTCTCTTTATGAGAACGAGTACAGACTTCCTACATGATGTCGGTGTCTATGAATCAGTCTCTGATTGTACTTGAACTTCAAATTTTGGTCCAATTAATGTACAATGTACAGTCGACTCTCATTAGTACAAACTCTGTTAATACAAAATTCTGGTTATAACAAACATAAAGCCTTGGTCCCGACTGTGCATTTATGTGCGCAATGAATGGGACTGATGTTCCTCTTAATACACAATTCTGATATAACAAACAACTTGGCTAGGTCCGAACGAGTTTGTTATAACAAGACTCGACTGCATACAGTCTCCGCCTGTAGCCACATTTCCCTATAGTATAGGTCCTATAAAGAGGCCCTATATCCGTCACTGTCACTTGAATAATTGAAGTTAGGCTTATATGTTGCAGAAAAAAGAGACTTGATTGGAACAATTGTTGTTCGAAGCATTTTTTTCCTGCAACAATCGACACTGTATTGAGTTAGTCTTAACAAAATCAAAGATATTGATTGGTCCACACGTAGAATGAATCCTTACAGACGGGGTTAAAGATGGACTATCCGTGGACTGTGGTGCTCATCAAATTCTATTTTTGTTCTGCTGACAAATTTAATTACAGCATATATGTTTCGTTTTAACAAGAATTTCCCCCCTTTTGGGGTCTGTTTTGGGCGTCTGCGACTCCTTGGAAGAAAAGTGTTTTTATTTCGGGTTGCTTTTGCGCACAATCAGATCTGCTCCTTGAATTGCCGCCACTGAGGAATTGTAGGGCCGCAAGTACATGTAATTCGAAATTGTCACGTTATTGTTCCATAACTAAATGCGGGCCGATTTTCCCCGCTCGACGTTTCATTATACAGTTAATAAATTATGCATTGTTAGAAAAATAGCAATTACATGTAATAACCCCCAAAAGTACCTTTTCAGGTTGAACTCCAAAATAGCACTGACAGTACATCTTAATGTTATCAATAATACCATGAGCTCGTTTGTTGCCGGGCCCGGTTAAAAGCAAAGCCAAAACAAGCAGCCTGACACAATACGCATGTTTATTGTTCCTTAAATCCAGCTGCCTTGGGGCACAATGTTGTGACGTTTGGCTTTTCAAACACTGTGAAATAAAAAAGTAAATGTATAGTCCACTACTTTTCAAGAACTTTCTCGCAGGTAATCCATCCTGTTCAAGTCTTAAAGGTACTTACGTAAGTCTAGTGTGCGTGGAGGTCCTAATTCCTTTGTAAATCTACATAGTCTATATCTACATGTATATAGACTCGACGGAGGGTCCTAAGCATGCCTCAGGGAGGCCCCTAGGAATTCTCGTGACTCGTACACCATCTAACAGTTCAATCACCTCAAAGATAATTCTTAAACTGGAGGTGATATCTTAGAGCCTAGATCCATCAATTGTCGCGTTTTAAACGAGAATATTAATAAAAAAAAATTACCCCCCAAAAAACGACACTGTAGGTGAAATTGCAGTCTGTTTAGCATTTGGCTGCGTAATTTCTACGGAGCTCAATTTTCAAGTTTTTGAAAGTTGAGCTTGAGTTTTCACACGGATACCTTCTGGAAACTTTTGATGGGGGAGCCATTCTACCAAACTCCTGGAAGATAATGACCAAAGAGACACTGACTGCATTCCCTAAAAGAATAGAGTACATGTATTTATTATGTATTTATTTATTTCTTGTTTATCCTGGAGAGACCTTTCAGTGAAACACTGTTTTTCAAAGGTGTCCAGCAGTTACAACAAACATAATACGATAGTATAAAAATAGAAAAACAAACAATAAAAACATTACAAAGATATAATTATGAAGATTAATAAACAGTAAAATGCGACAAGGTTAATCACGGTTGTTACATTGGCAGTAAAAAGACAAAAACAAGACATACATGTACCATGTAGAGACGCTTAAAACTGGCAAGAGTGGGAGGCAACGGATGTTTAAGTGTCGTAGAGAGGTCATTGAATAAATTGACTCCACGAGACGCAAATGTACGTTTCCCGAGTTAGATTTGGACAACGAAGGAACTAGATTACCTTGTGAAACAGACCTGGTATTGTATGAGTGGGTACTAGAAACAAAATGAAAAACAAAACAGTTACAAAGTTGAGGAGGCAATTTGGATGTTAAACTCTTATACTAGAGTAAAGTTAAGTATTTAGCACCCAAATGCCACCTATCGAAGCTTTAACGGAATAACAAAATGTCGAGGCCTTAATAAATATTCATATAATCTGGAGCACATGTTGATGGTTGTATGTGCTTCAATTAGCACCGAAATGTGCCAATTTTGTGAAGGGAATTTTCTTTAACATAAGCCGTTTAGATTTTTGTACTAAAAATTCATGACATAGTTTTACATTCCTATAGTAATATTTACCACCACATGATTGTAACATGGATACAATTTCTTTGGATTATACAGCAGACAACTGTGCGGTCATGACCCCTTCATTCATTCTGCGAGCTTTGACAGCTTCTGTGCAACGTGCAAACACAATTTACAATAGGAAATCCATTTGACATAGCCCCCCACAAAGCGACTATCAATTTTAATGATCATGGAACGCACTAAATCAAGTATATAATACTGAGCAAAGTTCCCATGTCTAGGATACGATTCGTATTCTGAATATTCAATACTAAAAAAAATGGTGTCAAAGTCTGAAAATATGTAATAAACTTTACTGACAGCAAACACCATACGACATAAATGTACTGTCCGACAGTAACAAGTGTTAGTTCGTGCAATATTATAAAAAAATACTAATGTGAATTGTTCATGCGAGGTAAATTCTTCATTTTAGAACTTATAGTTAATTATGGAGTAATACCCGTCTGCTCTGATGAATAACTTAAAATGTGTGATTAAACATACCCTAATGTTTTAATCAACATTTAAAAAAAAAATGAAAGCGAGGCTTGGAACGCACTCGAATCATATACATGTATAACAGTCCGTCCAGCACCATCACATTTAACAGTTTCCAATTTATAAAACAGATTCAGGGAAGACGATGGAAAATGGCTTCCTCCTGAATAAGGTTGATAGGCCTCCACATGAATCAACACATTCCAAAAGATGGTCACAGCAGCCTGACAATTGCCTAGTACTTGATGTATTTCAAAGAATGTCTGATTGGGGGATAATCTTGTTTTTCAGATGAGTGGCTCACGCTTTTGATTTCACAAACCAGACAGGGACGTTGTTGACGTCATTCCGTTTCGCGATTGTATCATGTACGATACTCTACTAGGAATTCTAGGAAGAATTAATCACCTGGACATCGCGCACAGACAGAATATATTCTTCAAGATAAAGGTGTTTTGTTTGTTGTTGTTGTTTTTTTTTTTTTAGTGTTTGTTTTGGCCGGGGGAGGGGAGGCATGAAGATATTCGGCTCAAAGCTTCCCCAACATCGACATGTTAACACATTTTGAGCATGTTGGGGATACTTGTGAATGATGTTACTATACTGGGAAGGCGATTTTCCTCCTACGTGTACGGAAGGGCTTATATAACACATAAACACACCCAGTGTGACCAGAATGAGATGAAAAGTGCTGAATTTTGTTCTGATAGACGCTGCTTAATCGTCAGGAGTCGCATGAAATATGGCTAAATACGTCATTCGAGTTATTTTATTGTAAAATTCCTACTTGAAAGACGAACCTTTATTTCTGCAGAGTACATCATTTTAAGATTGAGATAAGTTGAATTAATTTTTGGTTCACATAAATCAACAACTTGCTGGATAAGCCAAATCCTATACAAATTTCTGATTTTGACCGGGATAAACAAAATATAAATGAACATAAGTCGGGGGGGGGGGCGTTGTAACCAAATTTACAATCTAAAACGTTTTCATGCAATCAAAAAGAAAATGGAAATACTGATCGCACAAGAGTATAAAAATCCTCTAAAACACAGTGGCGGTTCTACAGGGGGCTGGGGGGGGGGGGGGGGCTTTAGCATAAAAAATTGCACCAACCAAATGTAACATACACGCGAACGGGCCTCCCCCTAAATAGATAGTCGTGAGAAGGGTACATTTTGTACACTATTAGTTAATATAGTGTGCATGATTGTAGGATTTTATCAGCGCTCCCCATTGAAAATATGGCACGAACACCCCCCCCCCACCTATATTGATTTTCGGAGGCCTAAGTGTCCGGAGAAAATAACGGGTGTAGGCCTACATTTCTGCACGCCTCCCTGAAAAAAATTCTGGATCCACCCTAGTGCTAGCCCCCCTAAAATATTGGCTCTAGAACCGCGCCTGCCAAAACATGGTCAAGTATAAAGTTTGTTTTTGTTTTGTTCTTTATTTTGTGCTTAATGCAGAACAAGACCTTAAATTTTGTTTGTAATTTTGTGTGTGCACCTCAGATTGTTCGTCCTGAAGAGGAAATTGTTTAATCTTGATTTCTAATTATACAACATACCAAGCTGTCTTACAATTTTATCTTTTATCCTTGCAAGGCATACTCCGTCAACCATATAACTGCTTTAAATCATTTAAACAAGTTTGTGAAATTGACACTACAGAATCAATTCCTACACATGATATACAGAATTGATCATTTCAACGAGTTGTAGTACAAACTAAGAACAAATGCACTGTCAATGTCATTTTTGAGTTTTACGCCAAAACAGATCTTAGTTTTAGTCTGCTATTTTGTAGCAATACAAAAGTTATTCACTGTTGAATGGGACACTTAATGAAAAGAAGTTTGCTCGTGTTTAGTAACGAAATAATTGCTTTACAAACTTTGAATTAGTTGTGGCCCGACAATTCATTTCTTGTAGGGTAGACTGATTCTCACCAATAAACTTGCACGGTACATTTGTTTGTTTGCAAAAACACCCAAACTAATGTGTGTGTGTGTGTGTGTGTTTTTTTTTGGGGGGGGGGGGGTTGGGTGGGTTAAAATAGAACATACAATTTGAAAATCTGTCAGGAGAGAAAAACCTAAACTGTGTTTAAGAGCACATACAGATATCTTTGAATTATACAAGTATCAATGATTGAGTTACATTGGTAACTTAATGCTTAATGTGTAAGTTAATGTGGAGTAATATGACTGCCTTCATCTATTTCAAATGTTATTCCTTCTAAAAGTCAACTAAGGGGAGGGGTAATAGGTTCTCTTGCCCCAATATAAGATTCAAATCAACTTTAATTTGGGAGTAGACCACAAAGAATATAAACCCACCCTTTCATCTTAGAACACATCAATGTCTTGTTAACTCTACTACAGGGTGAGTAAAAAAACATACACAGAATACTTGTTTCAACAACTGTCAACAACTGTAGTACACACATCTTTATTAACAACCCTGCTTAGGCGAAAAATATAATTTATAAAATCCACTTTTGTTCAAAAGATGGGCCTTTAAAGGGACTTTGTTGAATATTTTTAACTTTTAAACTCAAGTTTTATCACTGGTGATGTTTGAAGACAATTGTGACGACAATTCTTGAAAATGCATTTTTGGAAGAAAAAGGTTTCAGGGTCATTGTGATATACTTTGAATGGATTGAGCAATTTAAGTTTTTTTTTTCATCTAAAAGTAGTTTATGAAATTGGCTTTCCAGTCATTATTATTTTTGGTGCTACATATTTTATTAAATATGAAATATATTTTCCGAGGTTTGGGTTCTGCTTTTTTTTTACTCACCCTGTATTATTCAAAATGCCACACAAACTAATGCATACAGTTCATTTCTGCTTAAACACTCTGCATAAAGCACAGGGCAAAATGTAAAATAAATGGTAAACGACCCGACAGGTTTATGATGCAAGAAGACACCTTGGTCACCTTGTGAGAGTGATCATGACAGGGTAGTGAATGTTTTCATCGTATAACTCCTTTCCCTGAATCAGCATCTGAGAGTGGAAAAACCCAAATGCAAGACTTGTTGAAAGATGCAAGGTTAGTTTACAAGCTCACTGTCAAGTCATAAAGAGTTTCGGTTAAAATGCTCTGGTCAATTTATTTGGTCAACCTACATGTATTACATGTTAAATCTGTACGAAGATAAAAAAAATCATTCATGAGTATATGACAGGCACAGCATATTTCATTCTCTTTTTCTTCATTCACCTTTACCAAGTATTGTTACTTCTTTGTGTGTTCATGTTGACAGGATACGCTCATATTTCTTTTTGGTGAGCACAAAAGTCTGGGGGATTATCAAATAGCTGATATTCCCTGGTCAAAAAGTGGGGAATATGTCCCCTATCATATTTCCCTGTACAGTATATAGGATGGGCAAGTTGAACTTGGTTGGTCACCTAGGGGGCACAGCAATACAGACTGTCATACCATAGAGCTACGGACAACAGATCACACGTCTTTTAGACCTAAGCAGTCTATCTAGAACTGGATTAAGGAGAAGCCTAGTATTTTAGAATTGAGTGTCAACACACCTCTTGATGTTTTTGCCATACAAGCTGGTCATACTTGTGGTCAACTTCCACAGTAAATCTTAGCCTGGCAAACTCACAAAAGTCATCCAGTGTCTTCCCTCTTTGCGGTGCAAAGATAGTGGCTACACCCTGGGGTAAAGACAAGTATAAAAACATTGTTCTTGGAAAACACATGCATTTCAATGGCCATCTAAAAGTCTAAATTCGCATGTCAAAGGGAATCTGAGAGCAAGACTGTAGCGAGTGTAGCATCAATGAGTATGACTCCGAGACATGATTTAAGGGATTGGAGTTAAAACAAAGCTTTATAAGACTTTTCAAATTCAAGTGGTAAACCCCCCAGCAAATGTTACTGCTATGTGTGCACTAGTCCTGGCCCAAGACGCCAGTGATCGATAGTGGACGGTGCATAGTGCGCCCTCTAATGGCACAACAATTAGACCAGCAGGCCTACTCGCACTAACGTCTTGGCCATTTCGTTTCAGCGGTTTAAACTTGTTCTTTATTTTCTCCCTAGGATTTCCTAGGGAACCAATCAGCGATCGAGAAAAGGTTCAATGGTTCACCCAACAGTTGTAAAAATACACCCTACGTGCGATGATCAAGCATCATCAATTTCCTAGGGAACCAATTAACGATCGAGAAAAAGGTTGAATTGCTCACCAGACAGTTATAAACCACAACCAATTGCTATCAATTCTATCACGAAGGCCCCCTTCAATGGCAAAAGTATTGTGCTAGTGTTTGTCCAGATAATCTGTCACGGCGCAGTAAAATAGTATGTACGCTGCTTTTGCCAATGAAGGGGCCTTGTGCTTGTATAGTTTTCATCTGCCCAGATTATTCTATAGACACACAACACAGTGCCTTTAAAAGTTAATACACATAGCTAACATGGAGAATATTTGAATGAGAAGAGATCTATTTACTCTGAAAAATTTAATTAAAAACTAAAATTTAATCAGTGTCAATGTAAAAATATTTGGAGTGACATAATCACCTTAGCTTTTAGAAGAACATCAATAGTATCCACCAAATCTCGTCTAAACTGATCAAAGAACAAACTGGAAAAAAATATGAATGAAGCAAAAATGCTAGGAACAGAACATGTTATCTCAGTCAAGCAATTTACAACCAAAACGGTGTTTATATCTTGCAAAAAGAGTTCCAACAAGTGGGTTTAGTATTAGACATACGTATTAAAAACAACAAGTTATAGATGTGTTGGGAACTTAATCATTTTGAGGAAAACATGGAGTCCCTTTTCCCCCCTGATCACTTAAGGAGAATTACAACTTGTTCTTTGGAAAATTGGGTGATTGGGCGTTTGTTTTGTACAGTAGAAATCCGATGCACATACTAGTGTCATGAATTTATTGTAGTGCTGTCAGTCAGCCCCTCAAGTTCGGTCCAGGTTAAGTTCTGTTGAGCAAATAAAACTACCCGGCACTAAAACATGTACACACGCCCAACTAAAACATGTGGAACATGCCAAACTGAACAACTGAGTTTGGTTCTGTTTGGTAGGGTTTAAAAGTGCTATGGGGTGCTACATGTTCTGTAGTGACTGGTTTGCTGTACTTTTTTAGCTAGTCCTTGTTCTCTGTTCACAAATTGTAAATCACCATGTTTGTTGAAACATCTGACATAATGTGGATCATGTTTCTGACTGTGTTAATCATTTTTCATGGCAGTCCAATTCTATCATCATGTGTCTGCCATTTTCTCCTTGCCGGTGTAGCATGAATTTATGTTTTATGAAATACGGACTCATTGATGGTATTGCGCATGCTCATGCATAGATAATTAGGAGAGGGACCGGTCACGTAAGAGGGTTTAACCAATAAAAGGGAAAAGAGTTCGATTTTCATACGAGTCCGATTTTCATATGACACCGGCACTATCCAACACAAATCTCACTCGACTGGAAGAGGAGAGGAATTGCCCCATTACACGTAGTGTGACAAAAGTGCCACAAGGGGATGGAACATTGTGCATCATGGTTGCTGCTTTGTCAAAAATGCTTACAAGGCAGTCAGCCGCCCTGGCGTTGGTCACTCTGATCATAATATGGTGGCCTAGATGCCTAAATAACACCGTAAACTGAAAACACAGGAACCCAGCAAGAAATGTGTGAAGGTCTGGAATGACGATGTTGTGCACACCTTGCAAATGTGTTTTGCCAATCACAGGAACACTCTATTAATTTCAGCTAGCAATGTAAATGAAGCAACACAGACTGTCGACATCTACATAACTTTTTTGAAAATGCTGCTTGATCACAAATGTCAGGCTTTCATGAAAGGTGATCCACACAAATTCAACAGAAATCAAAGAAAGAACAAGGCTCTGTCTCCAAAATGTCACACACAAAAAGAAACGTGAATCATTTTGTTGGTATCTGTGAATGAACCGGACCAGCTTTCCTGCCACTCCAACACCCATGACTGGAGAGATCAAATGAAAGGACACCTTTCTGCCCTTTATTGTGTTCAAGAACAGTCCATCATTATCACCACCAGGGAGGTTGAGAAGCAGCTGAAGAAGTTGAACCCTCCTAAGCCAACTGGACCTGACAAGATCAGTGGCAGGGTGCAACTGTAATAACACAAACTAGCTTCTCCAGTTTTCTAGATTATTTCAACAATTTGTAGCAGTGTTGAAGTTGAGTGTATCACAAGTCCTTACAAGTCCTCCAGTCTCAATTCAAGTCACAAGCAATTCAAAAGAATTGTAACAAAGGCATTTCTTTGTTTCTGTTCATCCCCTGTTTCCTGTGACTGGACTTGTGATTTAATAATGAAATGACTTGTGATGGACTCAACTACAACACTGGGGTAAGGAGCCTGCTAGCTGAGTCTCCCACTCATACACAATAATGGGGGAACCAAGGTTGAGACACCACAGGAGCAGGCTCAATAAAACTCTTGTTTGCAACATAGTCGCACCATCAATCTTACCAATCAGCAGATATCACGTGATCAAAGTGGCCATTCAGATCTTCAAATGTTTGTCTCTGGTTCCATTTCAATTCCCTGCATAAAGGAATGCAAATGATCCAGGATAATCATACGTGACCTTACGGTTATTAAAAAAAGTGTGCTATACTAAAGGGGGGGGGGGGGGATCCGCAAAATGTAACAAAACAATATTTGATATACCTGGTGCATTTGAATTGTTCTTGGTAAATGTACTGCTTGTATCAATAGCCATTTCAAGATTTGTTTTTGCATCAAAAGGCAAGCTCTAAAATACTCATACAAGAGGCACTCAGTAGGAATCTACTATGATCACAATTCAGGGAATTACAGTAGACCATTTCTGACTGGAGGATGTTAGCAAACAAATGTCTGTTTACAGACTTAGAAGGCATGTTGAATGGTAATCATGGGGAATGGTACCTTGGGGGACATTCCCATAGCTGCCAACATTTCAAAATCCCAATTAGTAATCAACCCGCGCGGTCATTTTCAACTGCTCGTTTTATCAAAAGCTTTACCAACATCGAGTACAGGTACATGGTTTACATGTACACATACATGTGCATACCCTTCTTCTTGTGAATAATAATGTAATGTAGGCCAAAAGATAATTTAAAAAAAAAAATAATAATTATTTTTTTTTTTTTTTAAATTAATTTTTTTTAATGTCTGTATTTGTTTGTTGGAGTCAAATAAATAATAACAATAATAAAATATGCGCATATTTTTTTGAAGATGCATGCTATCGATGTGGAGTTTCGAGTTCGTATCAATGTTTTTACTAGTCCGAGTAACTTGGACCCAACTTATCGCCTTTTTTAACATTTGGACATGGTCTGGCGATAGTGGGGTCCAAGCTAATACCGCGACCTGGACAACACCGTCCCAAAAACCAACATTTTCCAACAAAAAACATCAGATTTCACCTTCAAAACGGCCTCCAAATTACTAGATATGCCACCTGAGGTACAAGTAGACATCGATAATTAAGATGGTTGTACTGAAGTTTACTTACGATCCGGAAAAAAAGTGAAATTTTCCGTTCATTTCGGAGAGCTCCCCTCGCGATCTTGAACACGTTAAATTCCCGATCGTGTTTAATGTTTGAACGACGCGATTTCTTCTACATGCCCAGCGTACATTCGATGGTCCCCGTATCCCGAGTGCGATTCCGTTACCGAGCGCGCACGATGCATCGATTATGATAATGATCACGTTTGTAAACACATGCATGTGCATTTCGAACTGTAAAAGGGAATCGGAAACCAGCTTGAACTGGTATCCGCCATAAAAGCTGTGCTAGTTCCCGACTCCCTATTATCGTTTGAAATGCACATGTGTTTACAAACGTGATCCAGTCTACTCATTATCATAATCGATGCATCTCGCGCGCTCAGTAACGGAATCGCACTCGGTATATACACAGGGACCATCGAATGTACGCTGGGCATGTAGAAGAAATCGCGTCGTTCAAACATTAAACACGATCGGGAATTTAACGTGTTCAAGATCGCGAGGGGAGCTCTCCGAAATGAACGGAAAATTTCACTTTTTCCCGGATCGTAAGTAAACTTCAGTACAACCATCTTAATTATCGATGTCTACTTGTACCTCAGGTGGCATATCTAGTAATTTGAAGGCCGTTTTGAAGGTGAAATCTGATGTTTTTTGTTGGAAAATGTTGGTTTTTGGGACGGTGTTGTCCAGGTCGCGGTATTAGCTTGGACCCCACTATCGCCAGACCATGTCCAAATGTTAAAAAAGGCGATAAGTTGGGTCCAAGTTACTCGGACTATGTTTTTACACACAATGATTTAGGGCCACCGTCATGACCGTATGCAATAGAAATATCCCGCCAACATACCTTGCAAACGCATGCTGATTTATCTTTTCTGGACGTTGTGACAAACTCAAACTGTAATACCAATTATTCCAACCATACTCTTATTAAATTCCATGATTAAATCTGGCACTGATGGGTCTCATCCTGGCAATAAGCGACTAAATGTGCTCACGATCGTCACTGAAAAGTACTCACATACAGTACACACAACCACACATCCACGAGATGCACACAAATGACACACCATTGAAAAATAGTTTTAGTCTGGTCCTCAAGTACTCCACTGCGCACACTGCATTGATGTCTATCAGGTGCTTGACTGCATTCTTATTAGACTTGTCACCAGTCCATCCATTATCGCGACATTTCGCCAGAAGTTTTCGGTCAAAAACGATACTTTACAAGTATTTTTTTTTTCATTAGGTAGAAAATGGGAAATTCGTAATGTTTTAGTGGCAAATCGTATTTTCGTAATTTAACAAACAATTCGTAATAATTACGAAAAATTAGTAACAGTTGGCAGCTATGCATTCCCATAGGGTTGTGCACAACATTTTTCCAACTTTAAAGCCAGAGTCCATCATTTGCAGCTATCCAAAAAGTACCTGGCGTAATTATTGTTGAAAAGCATACTTGGTTGAAAGATAGTAAGGGGACTAAACTCCCTGTGAAATTATTCTTTCTGGCAAGCTGTCATTTTGAAGAAATCAAAGAAAGAATGCCTTTCCAACAGTGCTTCTTAAGAAGCACCGTAGGAAATTCAAATTAGTAGTTCGTTTTGTTATTCGGCGAAGTATGCGCAAGCATTGGCACGATGCACACGTGTGCGCGGTTGCTATAATTCGTCAGATCAGTGCGCGACATCGCGTAGCTGCAATTGGCTAGTGAGAACGTGTCTTGGACGCTGGATTCAGGCCCAATTCAAAACACAATTCAGCATCTTTTGATTTGAAATCGAGATCCTAGAATGTTGTTTTTCTCGAAAAATGCAGCTGGTTAGTTGTTCAGCATCCTTCTTCAAATACTGTGCACTTTTGTTGCTTCAAACAAACAAAATGCACAAATTACAAATGATGGACTATACATTTAATATCCCCTATAACCCCAATTTCCCTTATCCTACCCCCACAAATTCTAGCATATTTACGTTTTGGACCATGAGCAAACAATCTAGCCTATTTGCGACATTAAAATTTTGCCTCTAAATAGGAATTTTGACATTAGGGAGACATTGAAATGTCTCCTTAATGTCTGGTGTTTCCCTAAGGTATAACTTATGATGAACAATGTCTCCTTAAGGGTACATTAACAGGAATACTGTCAGTCAGTCAGTCATTATAATGTACACATCACTTTACCTTGCTGCAACACTTGTGTGACCAAACTTGGAGCTATTTTCAGCAAGCACTTCTTTCACATCTATTGTTCAACTGGTTAATGAAAACAAAAGTCTTCTGATAAAATTTGAATTTATTTTACAGAAATGTTGACAGATAATAATAAAAAAATAAGTTGAGTTTGTTTGACCCTGAAAACAAAGTGAGAGGTGACCTTGCACAATTTACCAGGCACGTTTTACCTCACATTTCACAGAAAGTAAAATTCAATCAAGCTCTAAACATTTCTGTTCATAAATCTTGAGTTGATCCTCCTGTTACAAAGTTAGCAGAGAAATCAATTTTGGCGTGATTTTCCGATTATATTTTAAAGTGCACAGTGAGCCCTTTGAAAATGCGCCCAAAAATAAGAAAATGATTTTTTGACCAACTTCTATAGTTGGGTATGTGAAAAGAGATAATAATGGTTTATCAGAAGTTTTCAACTTTAAAGAAATTATTAAATGTTAACTTGGGATCTTCGGAGAAGTGGGCCACGTTAGGGAACACTCGGCCGATTTTGTGCCCAATTTCCGGATGCCACCGTTTTTTAATTTAGGACTCAATTTCATGACACTGAAATTATTAACAAAGGTTCAAGAGCAAGCATTATGAAGGTAAAAGTACCAGTATTTTGAATGAATTTGAAGTTTGGCAACACTGCATGAGGAAAGTCGGAGGAAACGTGGAAGTGCATCACCACTATACCCCTCCCAAAAAGAATTAACACCTGAGCATTTTCATTAGTTCACAAATGCCGAACACATGTAATGAATAAGCTCACATTTTCTGAGTACAACCTCTCTTAAATACTAGAGAATAAAGGTTGATATTTATATAACAATTATGATTCTTTTAAGAGATCACAAAGTCAGGGATTTACAGTTGACTGGAGGACGTTAAGCAATCATGGATGGTTTAAAAGTGTTGACAAACTATTTATTATGGGAGACAAAACATGCTAATGATGCTTAAATGTTTGGGTTGTCTGTCAGTTGCCAGTCAGTATGACGTCACAGGTGATATGGTCTACATTGGAGGCAAAAGGATACTTTGGACTGATGTTTGATTTCCATCAGTCAGTAGTACCTCAGCAGCATCTGAGCACACAGCAACCTGAAGACACAATACAAGACACATTCAAACAAAACACATCAAAGAAATTGCCCAAACTTATTTTAAAACAAATCCTCTCTCATCAAAGGATCGCATTTAATGAAGCCTCTAAATTCACTCAGTTAATTGTGTTAAACACCCACTCAACAAAAACATGTTACCACCAAAATATTACACGACATACACTGATTTTAACTAATTCTGTTTGTTTTAACTCAACATGAAGTTCTTCAGCAACATTTTGTGCAGAGCAGCTCTACTAGACATATTAACCCCTGTGCCATTTTTATAAATGTCTTCATTACCTTGGTTTAAATTGAAGGATAAATGAACATCCCTGAATGTTTTCTATATCACTCACCTGACACATCTGATTTAAGAAACCCCAGAAATCATGAAGGTATACTTACTGCAATACCCGCTAAGCATGTCATGCCTCCTCCAAGTTCACACAGTCTTTGGTTTCTGTGACAAACCAACACAGTCAACAGTATAAGAACCAGTAAGGTATTAAACTTGAATGTTTCTTAAGAACTAAATGTAAGTTTAAGGCTTGATAAAATAAATACAACACCAAGAAATCATCACAAGAAGTTGAATATGGAAGTCCAACAATCATGCTCATTTAAGTGGAGTAAACTGAACTATGGTTATCCATAGTTTGATCTCAAACTTACTCATAATCGTTTTGGTGGATTTGCAAAAGGATTACATGTAAGCTTAGCAGCACAATACTTAAATAAGGGAATAAGTACATGTGAGTATGTGTTTGAACTGCCTGGGGGCCTGCAAGCGGATAATGGCCTATTCATACATACATTTTTAGTCAAAAAGTCACACACACAAACAAAATTCACATATTTACAAAATTCAACAATTTTACTTCATGTTTTGTGAAACACCCCACTCGCCATGTCTATGGTATATGCATTGCATGCGTAGTGCTAAATATCTCACGCGCGGACTGTGCAACATATATGGCCCAGAATGCAGCGGTGTCAGCGGTTTCAAACCATCCATGTGACAGTCTCTCGGCAAATAGGAATTCTGTCTTAGGTACTAATGAATACTAAATAAAAATGTGCACTTTACCTGGTAAGGTACTTACTTAAATAATTCAGCATTCTTCATGCAGTGGAAGGCCAAAACCTCTTCTGATGGCCATAAACCTACAATTCAACAAAGCTGTTATAATTAGTAATTTAAGGTATGTGGGGACATTTGCTTTTTGTGTGTGATTTTTTGTTTGAAGCAACAAAATTGCTCAAAATCTTAAGAAGTGTGCATAACAACTACCTGTAACTGGCTGAAGTTTCACCTCAGTGGATACTTTACATTTTGAGAAATAGAGAAAATGTATGCACAATTTTTGGGGTCTTGTAACTGGATTCGATTGCTAACGCAAGTAAAAACTGTGCTAGGAGGCACATATTCTATACCACCTTCAATGATTTTTTTTTTTCGAATGATACCATGTCAGGCAAGCAGAACCATATCAGGTGAAACATTAACTTGAAATTTATTATTATTTTTTTTTAGAAAAGGATGAGTGGCACATTGTTAAAAATGAGTCATTAAATTAAAAATATTTATCAGACAAAATTGGGCAAACATTTGGCGGTTTATTCAAGACTTTCTGTCAAACCGTTGCTACCACTGGAAAAGCAAGAAACTTACACACATTTCCTGTATTGTTAAAGCCAATGAGTTCACCAGCTGAGAAACTGTTTGAAAGATGTCTGTAATGAAATAGAGAAATCATATCACAATCGGAGAGAAAATATTAGGAAATAGCAGCTTGTAAATCAGTCACTTATCACTCATGATCAAGAGAAAAAGCTGTAGTACATTCAGATATGTGGGGAGAAGGTTGATAAGGACAGACTGTCCACACGTTATTATTCTCACCTAATATTGACATTTATTTGACTATGATGTGGACAGGTGTACTCTTCCCATCTGTGTCCCCCTTGAGCTGACTTGCCTGGAAGTTGATTGGTTGAGAATAAGCCAAATGTTGAGAATCTACGAATGGACACCAAGTTGACCGGGTCAGACTCTGTACACTGCTTCTGTAGGATCGCCTGTAAGTCAAAGAATAATGTCAAAAATAAACCAAGGAGACTAGGGAGGTAAGTGAAAGCATTCTTTGTTTTAATAGGCCAAACACCTCACCAACTGGTTCTGAACAATAGTTTCATATTTTCCGATTAAATAATTCCCAAACCACTGTATTTTTACATTTATTTCACTTTGTAACCATTACTAATTGAAAATTTACTTGTGGACACTTTTCAAACTACTCCTTGATAAAAAGTTTCCATCCAACTTTGTAAAGCATATTTTGTCCGCAAAATCAGTAACGTAATAGCAAAATAGTGTCTGTCAGCATATGCCACCAACAGCCCTTCTCATGGCTACATTTCACAAAACCTCCCTGAAATGATACAAAATAAAAACTTGAGCAAAATTATTCCGTCATTGTTGTTCGGAAACTTTAATTCATCTAAAAAAAAGAGGTTTGTCTAGTTTTTATTCCGTGGCATTTTATGGTGATGATGTCAAAGCACACTCTTCCTCTCCGGCGCACTTTTCAAGATTGGATTTGAATTGATTAACTATTGTTTATGATATTATAGAGAAAGATATTACTGATTTTCATCAGAATTGTGGTTTGCCTTAGTTTGGTTTTTCGAATGGAATAGAAACTTGGCTTCTGTTCCCATGTTAGTATTTTCAGCTAAGAGAGAAAAACAAATGTTGAATCAGTAAAGATAATTAAAGAGTTATCTTCTGTTTTTTTTTTTTTCTTTCTCTGAAACAGTGTTAAAACCAAGGAAAAAAAAAAAAATCCTCCAAAGCCACTGATTACAATGAAGAAAATGAAATCTACTTAATTAAACCATTGCTATGACGTCACACTATTGTTAAAAGTGTTGATTCGGATCTACAAATCGCTTACACTGGTCACAAAGTGTGGATTCGGAACGACGAATCTTTAGTAAAGTGTGGATTCAGAATTACGAATCCACACTTTGAACATGTCGGAAAATAAATTGTTCTCCATAATGAGCCTGAATAGGACCGTCTGTTTGAAAATTTGCTTTCCGAAAATTACCATTGCATCTTTACACACTGTCAGATTCTCCGCCGTCACTGCAAAATCTACTTTTAGTCAGAAAAAAAATCGTCGTCTGAACTATCCATTTTGAGGTAAGGAGCCTATAGACACAAAATGACATGGTTGTACGGGTGTGGCGATACACATGCTAAACACGCCAGGAAAAAATGTTGCAACCTGCCGCCACCTCCGCGCTTGTATACAAAGTATTTCCCAACACAATTGGAAACATTTCTCAGTCTCAGATTCATGTCTTATCGTCATTTTTGCAACAAATTAACCTCATTGAGATGATATATGAAGAAAAAAGTGGCGTCAGGTTGCAACATTCCTTCCAATATTTCTGTTGACGCAATGGTTGAAGTCGAAGAATACACTCGCAAGTGTGGATTCTTAATTAACAAATTCACTCGGCGCTTCGCGCCTCGTGATTTCTTAAATTACGAATCCACACTTTCTCGTGTATTCTCCTTAACATAAAAAGAACGATTCAATTAAAAACATAAAAGTAAAGAAAACTATTAAAAGAAAAAAAAATGCGTGGGGGGGAGGGGTGTAATTTTTTATTCCCAGGATGGTTAGGGCCAAGTCTTGAATAATTCAGTAGTTTCGATCAGGCCAGTATGTTTATTCATGAGAACAGAACAATGATATCAAGAGCATTGTTGTTAATTAGTCAATCAGTTATATTAAAGCATTTTAAAGTACAGTCGTCGTCCAGCTACGATCATACAAAGATCCCTGATTCCAATCCACATCGTCGCTACTCATTTTTATTGACTTTTTTCTTCTCTAAATCTATAGTTGAGATAATTTTAACTTAGGGGAAAAAAGAGAACGAGAACCTAGGCTAAGTAAGATTTGAGGCTTTGCATGGTGGAGATACTAAATAATGAAAGGTTTGCGGAAACACCATGTGCGAATAATTTCTCAACTAAGAGAATGGTTCTGAAAAGAACCAGAGGTATAAACCAGAGGTATAAACCAGGTTACAACCAGGTTAGGTTGTATGAACGGACGTCAATTTGGCGTTCTAAACTCATCAACAACTTAACCTTCCTCAAGCGATGCCGCGACTCTAAGATAACTCCTGCCGGTCTGCGTATCCGCGATCCCATACACAATAACCGGTCGGATGACATCCTCCGGAGAGCCAGCTCTGCCCTCATCCGAGAACGCATCTCCTTCACCAGACTACAACTCGCCATCCAAGGACCCCTTGGGGTCTCTTTGCCAAGGACCCCACTCAATGCACTGTTGCTGACAATTATAATAGGCTAAAACAAACCTTGCTCAAGTCCAGGGATGAAAATATTCCCAGTAAGACATCCCGCCCATCCAATAGTCTCCCCTGGGTTACCAAGAACATTAGGAAACTGATCAAAAAGCGAGATAAGCTCCATAAAAAAGCGAAAAAATCTCAACTACCTGCTGACTGGGAAAACTTCCGTGAAGCTCGTCGCTCTGTGAAAAAGATCTTCAAGAAAGCAGAGTCCGACTACATCAAGAATAGTATTGATGATTTGGAATCAGACCAGCGTCCCTTCTGGAAATACATTAGAAGCAAGCGTGTGGATAGCTCAACCATCCCAACCCTGAAAAAGGATGATCAGCTTTTAATTTCAGACTATGAAAAAGCCGATGCTCTCTCTGACCATTTCAACTCCGTCTTCACAATTGAAAGAGACAATGCCATTCCATTCACATCAAGTAAATACCCTGCCATGGATGATATCATCATCAGAAGTGACGGGGTCCTCAAACTTCTCCAGAACCTTAATATCAGCAAAGCTGCTGGTCCTGATGAGATGACCGCCCGAATGCTGAAAGAAACAGCGGAGGAAATTGCTCCGGTCTTAGCATCCTTGTTTCAGCAATCTCTCGATGCGGGGACTCTCCCAGACGACTGGCTCCTAGCTAATGTTACAGCTCTATTTAAAAAAGGATCTAGAGCAAGTCCCGAGAATTACCGCCCCATTTCCTTGACCGCCATCATGTGCAAACTGTTAGAACATATATTACATTCTCAAATCAGCAAGCATTTTGATAAACATAACATTCTGTCACCACTGCAACATGGTTTCCGTAAGGGACATTCATGTGTTACTCAGCTCATCCAGGTTGTTAATGATTGGATGGAGGGAATTGACAACACACAGCAAACTGATGCCGCAATATTAGATTTTACTAAAGCATTCGACTGTGTCCCCCACGAAAGGCTTAAATCAAAACTGCATTATTACGGTATTAGAGAAAACACTCTCAACTGGATTAGCATGTTTCTGACACAACGACAACAACGGGTAATCATCAATGGAGAAACTTCCAAATGGAACCCAGTAATTTCAGGAGTCCCACAGGGAACTGTATTGGGGCCATTATTGTTCTTGACATATATCAATGACATCACAGACACAATCCAGTGCAACATACGACTGTTCGCTGATGATTGCATCTTATACACCACCGTAGCCAGTGATGAGGATTGTGATAAACTCCAGAAAGACCTTGATCATGTGTGTCAATGGGCTTCCAAGTGGCAAATGACCTTTAACCCCAAAAAGTGTAACACCATGTCCGTGGGACTAAAGAGGTCCAAGATTCATCACAACTACACCATGCTTGGAGAAACCCTTGAGCAAGTTCAAGAGCACACATACCTTGGAGTGACAATATCGGATAACCTCTCCTGGGAACCAAATTATCGGCGCACCGTTAGCAAAGCAAATAAAATCCTTGGTCTTCTTCAAAGAAATATGCACCAATGCAGCATAGAAACCAAAGCCAAAGCATACAAGGCCCTCGTTCGACTTCACCTCGAATATGCTGCCACAGTCACCGACCCCTACCAAGCTAAATACATTCAGATGTTGGACAAAGTTCAAAGAAGGGCGGCACGTTTTGTGGTCAACGATTATCGCCGTAAATCTAGCTTCACCAAAATGATCCAAGATCTGGAGTGGGAAAGTCTGGCAGAAAGGCGCCAGAATGCCCGATTAAGCCAGTTCTACCTTATTCAGAAAGGGGCATCTCCAGTGACATCCAACAAGCTTCAACTTAGAGACAACAATCATTCAAGCCGGCACTTCACAGCTGACGCATACAACATCATCGTATCCAGAACTGATAAATACAAGAACTCATTCTTCCCTAGAACCATCCGTGATTGGAATAGGCTACCCCTTGACATTACTACACGACCGACCCTTGTTAATTTTAAAGCTGCCCTCACGAACTAGACATCGTCTACACCCCGCGGCGTCATGGAACTTTTAGTTCTGTTGCCGTGTACCAAGTGATGATGATGATGATCCTCGACCAGCAGATCACCGACAGATCAACTGACAGAACCAGTCCACTTCGACAGGATTTGTTCTCTCACTACTTCTTCTAGCCAGTTTGTGTTCTCCACCACTCGTAAGAAACAACTTAGGAAATTCTACCGCCTGGAACGCAAGGAACGGAATACTCCGACTCCTTTCCACCGTAACCGTAGCCCGCCAACTGGATCTCCTATATCCTGGCGTCGTCCATCTCGCCTACATAGCCCGCCAACTGGATCTCCTATATCCTGGCGTCATTCTTCTCGCCCGCGTAACCTGCCATCTGGATCTCCTCACCGATCCAGTTCTGGCATCCAAGATGCATACGGGAAGCCATCGAGATCCGACATCGAGTTTCACCTCAACGACATCTGGCTCCCACTCAGGCTGCTCCCACTTCTCCAGACTGATGGGTCTCCTATACCCTAGGTCCTCAGCTACCACCTTAGACTGATGGGTCTCCTATACCCTAGGTCCTCCCTCTACTGACACTGCAACCCCACTGTTTCACTTCAGTGGGCACCAAGCTTGCTCTAGGTCCCGTCTACTTGGCATCCTCACAGGATGCAACTTCACACTTCATTGATTTCGCCTTTTGCTACTTAAGCATTCACTTTCTTAGAGTTTAGGCACTCTCCTGAAGACGGTCAGAGCATACTGACCGGAACGTCGAGTTTATACCTCTGGTTCTTTTCAGAACCATTCTCTTAGTTGAGAAATTATTCGCACATGGTGTTTCCGCAAACCTTTCATTATTTAACCTATGCTAAGACAAGTGTCTTGCAATGATTTAAAGGAAAAACTGGGCGATCATGTAGTGTAGGGCCCGGTTCCTATAAGGGAACAAAATCCACATTAAAATTATTGGACCTATCAAACTAGTTGGCGACATTCTCATTAAACAGGTATGTCATAGATAGAGGACAGGGTATTGATTTTTTGAGGGAAATTTGGAGGTAAAATGACGATGACAGCGCAGCGACAACACACGACCCGAAATTAAAGATGGCGATCACCACGCGATGTACCGTGAGCACGCACGGTGCGCTGAATCGCAAGGCACAAACCACACTGGAAAATTGTGATTTCTACCCTAAGAATCTGTTCAAAATTGCAAAACGGGCGTCATTAGAATTGAGAAAAGTCTGCTTTTGATTGTAAGGTGATTTTTGAGTAATAAAAAACATTTTTGACTCTAATTTGATCACAAAAAAAACAGGGGCCCTACACTTCACGATGGCCAAAAACTGAATTATGCATGACATTACCTCTAACCCTCCCGGGAAAAAAAAATACGCGTGCGGGGCTCGATCTGGGACCTCGCACACAGTAAATGTTTAACTAAACAAGCTGAAGCGTTCTGGTTGGGCGGGCAGTTGTAATTTTGGGATATACATAACATGTCAATTCGCAATGGTGTTGTTGAAAATGCAATGCCGTTACTTAAGTCATGTAGGTCCTAGGCCTAACTTGTTAATGTAAGTAACGATAGCAGTTGAAAATTTTGTTACGGCTGCCTAGTGTTTTATTAATAATGGTTTTATAGTGTTTCAATATTCCTTGAAATGTACCCAATATTGCATATTCATATAGAGGAGATGATTTTTGATTTATGACCAAAAGCCAACTGACACTATCCCTAGCTTAGTAGCTAGCTAGTGAGACAGGCCAGTGCAGTTCCTCGTACTTTGCTTTTGACCAACCATGGAGCTGTGTTTATAGCTCCATGGACCAACTATACCCTGACGTCTTCCTGCGAGAATGAACGAAAACTTTGCGATTATTACCAAAGGCCAGCCTACAGTCACTGAGTCGGTGAGTACTGTAATGTGGAATCTGGCGCACAGATGCTTACATTTTTCAGAATCTTCCAGCGATGTTTGCTCTTTTTCTCATCAAGTGTCCGTTTATTCATTGTTGTGTCTGAGTACGTAGGACTTTCCATTTCCGTTTCGTACAATGTATACGAATTATTTAAGGCAAGACCAAATACGCTGCGACGAATATATTGTGACGGCTTATTTCTAAGTTATGTGCATTTATTATAGAATGTCTGCTATAAGTATAACTAGAGGGCGCTATTCGCATGCATTATTTGTAATGTGTATGTTTGTTACATTTTTTCGAGGGACGTGTAGGAGATCGAGAACCCCGCACAATTTGGGTACCTTTTCTAATTCTGAGATTGAGAAGGTTTCTTTTATTCCAAAATGGTGAAATTGACTTCTGCAGCCTTTTTGCCAGCCTTATTTATCATCAGACCTCCTACGCGCTCCTACATCATACATGTCCTATTTCTTCGCACTCGCCTTTGCAAGGCATGCATCCTAAAAAATGACATAAAATCACTGGGATCGTATCTTTTGATGCACGAACTTTAACCAGCAGCCGAAAAAAATTTGGAAATTGAAGGCTTTATACTGGCAATTCAGGCAAAAAATGAAAAACATAGGCATTTTACAGCTAATTGCCAAGTACAAATGCAGGCAGATGCGACACCGGGCCTGCAGAAGTTGAAAATATAACTGAAAGGTGACATTTCTTGGTCTTCTAATATCTTCAGACTTCAGTATTATAGTTATGCGCCTATCCATTGTTCCCCCCTCCCCCCCCCCCCCCCCGGGCTGCCCCACCCAAGACGTGGGGATTGTCACTTTTGAAGTGACAAAATCCCCACCCCTCGGGCAAAATTTAAGTGACAATCTCCGACCATGCCCCGACATAGATACGTGGGATGCACAAGTAAATGCATTTCCATGTAGAATGCCAATGGTAAAACAATGTAATTTGAGTGACCAAAATCCCCACCCTTGAGCATGAAAAACGTGACCAAATCCCGGCATCTGGGGGGGGGGGGGCATTTGATAGGCGCATTAATATGTCGTAGATAAGACTTTGCAGTTTCTACAAGGGTGTAAAATTTACCGTGCAACTAAAACGACACATTTCTTATATCATTTTGGATTTTTTTTGTGTCATAAAGTTTGAAATCCGACATCTTAAAAACTGTCTCTGTTGATTGGGATGATCAGAATAACAATATCATTGGGATCTTCATTTAATAGGTAAATACATGTATGTATAAAATCAATTTTTGTCAATATGTAAATAGAGGCCTTTGTTTAAATCTCCAAAATGGGATATTAGAAATAATCTTGAAATTACGAAAAGTGTATTGGCATTGAAAAAAGAAAGGAAAAAGAAAGAAAATATGTTTGAAAAGCTCAGGAAATATATTTTTCTAAAGCCAACCAACTAAGTTATTAAAAAAAAAAACTATATTGAGTTACGTGACCCAGACAGCACATATTTTTCATGAAGCGTCCCTTGCGCAGAATTAGGTAGGATTTCTTTTCTACAATGCCAAACCTGCACGCTTTGGAATTCCCCGCTTGCTTTGTCAATCGGTACGGTGGATGATCGTATGCCAACAATACAAGTTTTGTTGAGGAAAAGAGGGGTTGCTTTGCTATTTTTTAAGCTACTTGGTTGCAAAGCCTTATCTGCGCAGAAATAGGAGGATCGAGGATATAACTACTTATTTATTAGTCCGAGTAACTAGGACTCTACGAATCGCCTTTTTTAACATTTGGACAAAGTCGGGGATGTCCAAATGTTAAAAATGGCAATTCGTAGAGTCCTAGTTTATACTAGGACTGTAAGCAGTTTTTAGTTTGGAAAGAATGTTGCAACCTGACTCCTCTTTTTCCTTCATAATAAATCATCTCAATAAATAAAGGTTGCAAAAATGTCGAAAAGACATGAATCTGAGACCAGGAAACATTTCCAGTTTTGGGGTGCAGGTCAACTCGGTCCCAAACCAACTCGGTCCGCGTCAACTTGGTCCCAAGTCAACTCGGTCCCAGGTCACCTCGCGCCTCGTTCTCTATGGAAGATATTCACCTGGTTAATAAGCAGGAAAAATTAAAGGTAGAGTAGATCATTTGCATCTATCCAAAAAGTAACTGACATTGTTGAAAAGCTTTAATACCTGGTTTAAAGATGGTAATTGGCACTAAACTCATTGTGAATATTCTTTCTGGTATGCTGTCATTTTGAAGAAAACAATAAAAGAAGGCTATTTCCAAAGATGTGTGAAGTGACACATTTTTGGAAATTTCCGTAAGTAGTTGGTTTGTAATTCGGCAAATCCATGAATGGGTGTGCGCAAGCATTGACAAACGCACACATGCACGCGGTTGCTGTTAAAACTTATATTATTTGTCAGTTCTGTGCGTGACATTGGGTAGCTTCAATCGGCTGAATCGGAATGTGTCCTGGACGCTTTGACTCGGCAACTTTTGAATTAAAACTGCGATCCTAGAATATTGTTTTCAAAGAAAATATAACATTCATAGAGCTAAAACTTCATCATGTTAGTTGTTAAGCACCCTTCTATGGATTTTGAACACTTTTGTGGCTTCCAACGAAAACAATTCCCAAATGACAAAATGATCTACCCTACCTTTAAATTTCATACCTCTAGAAGTCTCGTTGTCCTGTAATTTTCAGGCAAAATTAGTAGAAAGTTTGTATAAAAAAAAATGAAATGAATTTTTTTTTAGGTCATGGGTCATGCATGTTTGACCTTTGATTTGTCCTGCTCATTTACCAGGTAAGTAGCTTCTCCATAGTGATTATGAAGTGAAGAAACAGTCTTAATTTCTAATTCTGCAAACACAACTTAACAGGATATGTAGCATGAATTGGTGTGTGACTCGAGTCAATTCGGAGGAAGTCCAGTATTTGAGCCATGTACAGTTATGGGGCTAGCCTGTAAGTTTGGACTGTTGCAGCTATGGTAGAGGCCATTGCTATAGTTAGGGCATAGTCCATTATTGTAAGTGAATTTTCATTTTGTTACAGGAATATGAACCTTTAACCACACAATTTTTTTCCAATTGACTTTGAATCCTTATTAACCACACAATTTCTGCCAATTGGCTTAGTAAATGTTGTCATGACTAGTTTATGAAGTTATACATGAAGGCTGAGGATTTAATAGTACACTGCTCGGGAATGGAGAAGTTTTGATTACAAATGTCTGGGAAAATGACAACTATTATTTTGCATTTGTATTCATTGTAAACCCACAGATGCACTGGTGATAAACGAAGGCTATCCATCACATTTCAAGGCATAAGTGTCAACTTCTGGATGAAAGTGCGGAATCATGGTGCAGATAGCTGTGCTGGGCTGTGGCCTAATGGGCGGCAAGATAGCAGGTACAAAATACAAACTAAAGACAATACTGTGGGGGTGCTTCAGTGAGGAAAGAATATTCTGTCATTACTGTGGTGGTTTTGTACAAATTCTATGGGGATTGTATCTGTTAACAACTTATGCATTTCAGTCCCAAGCTGTATATGTATACATAAAAATGTAAAAAAAAAGTGGTATTAATAGGGCTGTCTCAATGATGTGACTTGGCCTACATCCGGGTACAGGAAAGTCAGCATCGCCATTGTATTAGGCAAAGATTGTATAGCAAGGCGCTGTGTAGTCCAATGGCTACGGTGTTTGACTTGTGTGCTGCGGTACATGGCTTCAAACCCTGAACATGGTGCTTGTGCTCTTGGGCAAGGCACTCCACCCAGGAGTAAATGAGTACCTGTGAAGGTAGAGACCAAATTGAACTGCTGCAGAAAAAAATGGTCCCATTCCTGATGAACAGGGATAATAATTGTGATGCGCATTTGATCATATTCATATTCATATGAAATTTGCGCAATATAAATGCATGAATTATTATTATTCTAGCACCGTGTTCAGTAGGTAGTAGGCAAGCCTTCAAAGCTGTGATGGATAGCAAAAACTGAGAAAAACGCGGAGCCAACAGCCAGTGCTGGTTTGGCACAAATATTACAATCATACATGGTACAGGTAGTGACTATATGTCATTTGATAAGGAATTCACGGTTATTTCATGTGAAAATAAGCCCCATTGTCAGTTTACAATGGACGATGTGGTTGTTAAGACCCCCGTCACACTTATTCGGAATCAGCATGAATCAAGCAGAACCAGTCGGAATGAAGAATTTTCAAAATTCGTGCCATATTCGGGAGGGAATTTCAAATTGACCAAGCTTTGTAAGAATGCCGTTCGAATACTTAGAATGCGCTTCGAACCCGCCTCGAATGATGGATAGCAAAAACTGAGAAAAACGCGGAGCCAACAGCCAGTGCTGGTTTGGCACAAATATGACAATCATACATGGTACAGGTAGTGACTATATGTCATTTGATAAGGAATTCTGAGTACTCGCCTTCACAGGTACTTGCACAATCTGGGTGTATTAGCTCTCGAATGTAGCTGGAATGTAGTTGGAATACAGTAGGAATATTTAGAATGCTGTTAGAATGCAGTCAGAATATTTAGAATGCACTTCGATTGCTGCCCGAATACCGCTCCAAGTCTGGTTGGAAGGTGCATGCCTCGAATGCTGTACGAATTCACCTCGAATGCAGTCGGAACGCTCCCGGAATGGCCACTGAATATGGTTGGAACGTCCAAGAGTTCAAACAGAATGCAGCTCGAATATTTAGAATGTACTTCGAATGGTCCCCGATAGGGTATAAAATGCTGCCGAATCTAGCATTTTCATCAGTCTCAGCCCAACCATCACAGAGTATGGACCCCCTGGACCATATTGCTTTGCTCCAGATTGCTGTCCTCCAGCTGGCCGCGTTTTTATGCGATTTGGCGTATTCTGAATTACGTCCGGACTCATTCGAGGGCCAATCGGGACGTTCCGATTGCATTCAAGCCGCATTCGAGCGGCAATCGAAAGATTCGGATGGCATTCGAAGTGCATTCCAGCTGAATTCTTTTAATATCGAAATAGATTCCGTCAGCAATCGAGATGCATTCGAGGTGCATTCCGGCTCATTCGAGGCGCATTCGGGACATTCTGGTAGGATTTGAAGTGGCTTGGCCTTTCGATTCTCCCTCGAATGCGATCAGAATGTTTCGAATGCTGTTGGAATGCCGTAAGAATATTTAGAATGCAGTCAGAGTGCAGTTAGAATACACTTCGAATTCTGTTCGATATTTCTCCACTTCGAATGCACCTCGAAAGTTTTGAGCATGAGCAAAACATTCGGGCCGGCCACAAGAATGGGCCCGAATATTTGGAATGCACTCAGAATTCAGTCAGAAGTTTTAGAATGCACTTCGAACATCCAGGAATATACAAAGAATTTTCATTCCGACGGCATTCCAGCTCATTCCGCCTCTAGTGTGACTAGGGTATAACCAAATGCTTGCCTACTGCAATGGTAGCCGATCACAGGGAAACCGGAAGGCCAAGTGGTACTTTGATGTCATACGATTGGAACATATTCTCTGCATTCTGAGTAAGGGTGTGCATTTATGGGTAGAATGGGAATCAGGTAACCGTAAAAGAAACCCAACCCCAAAATTGTAATCTCGGAAGTTGCTGTACAGATTGTGCATAAAGGTCCGTAGAATAATACCACACCGGTGCATCAATACAGCAAGATACAAGTGTACAGCAAGCTCAATGCAAGGTGTAAATTGCTTTTTCGCAAGCGTCATCAATGTGAATCTGTTGTTTTTCCATGCAGCTTGACATTCAAAACCTTCTTTTTCATTGTTTGAGAATTTACTAATTAATATATAGAGTTGGTTACTGGTACTTGATTCCATAATCTGGAACCGGTTCCTGACATCAGCAGTCGGGTACTTCGGGTACCCGGTTCCGATGCACAGCCCTATTCTAGTGCAAATTTGAGCGAGAACCAAAACCATAGTACGACTAACTTCACTGGAACCCATGCTATAGTCAACCATAGTTGCACTAGCTGGTGGCATCGCTAGTTGTATAACTTTATGTGTGCAACTTACCAGTCTACGTTGGATGACGTGTATACATGCAGAGGTTTTGCGGTATTCGGAACGGATGACAGATAAACATGCAACGAGCGAGGCCGGAAATATCTGTCTGCGACCCAGTCGCAGTGAGCGAGGCCAAAAACATCAGGGTGTACTACCCGCAGATGACGGTCTGAACCCATCTGGCATTGAGGTTCTTGAAAACAATCCCATGCCTGGGTCCGTTAATGTCGATATAATCCCGGCGTGAACTGGTTAAGTAAAGAATCGTTTGAAACCCATAGGGAAATTCTTGAAAACCATATTTTCTTGTCTGTGTAGAGAACTTTGCTCTGAAGGAAAAAGCTGTTCTATACAATTTAGGCTTATAATTAGCCTGCACCATTGTATGTGTCATCAAAATGGTATTTAGGCACACTCTTTTTATTCTCCAGCAATGTGCATTTAAAGATGCATTCCCCATGCTATTTTGAGCTGGACTCGCCACAATAGATTTTTTTTCAGTTGCTATTTTCCTAACAATGTAAAACTTATTCACTTTTGAATGAGACATTGAATGGAAAAAAATCCATTGAGGTTTAGTTGTTGAATTAAATGGCAGTTCATTTGTGTGCAGCCCTTTTTCAGAGGGTTGCAGACGCCCAAAGTCAGAAAAATGTAGAGTTTTTCATTAAAACAAAACATCCAAATTGAAAATTTGTTAGGAAATGACACGCAGCTTTAAAGGCGATTTAGGATGTACAGCAGACAAATTATTCCAAATGAAATGATCGGACCATAATGAACTTCATTGTGCATTCCTTAATAGGTTGCATGGCATACCATGGGCACAAAGTTAAGGTGTATGATTCCAATGCGGCAGCACTAGATGCTCTTCACAGTAACCTGGAGGTTGACAAGAGAGAACTGAAATGTGAGGGACTGATGATTCATCCAAACTTTCTGGTAAGCAAAGAGGACATGTTTCCATCATACTATGTTTTGTGGAATTTGAAGCTTGACATGTGTTGCCATTAACACAGGGCAGCATAGGTCAGTTAGTTCAGCACTGGTACAAAGTCATGGAGGTTGAAGGAGAAATTCAATGTCTGTTTTCAACCTTAAAGATATAGTCCATCATTTGTAATTTGTGCATTTGTTCGTTTGAAGCAACAAAAGTGCTCAAAATCTAAAGAAGGGTACTGAACAACTAACCTGATGAAGTTTCAGCTCAGCTTCAGCTATATATTCCGAGAAAACAGCATTCTAGGATCTCGATTTCAAATCAAAAGTTGCTGAATCATGTTTTGAATTGGGCCTGAATTCAGCGTCCGAGACACGTTCTCACTGAGCCGATTGCAGCTATGCGATGTCGCGCACTGATTCGACGAATTATAGCGCCCGCGCGCGCGCGTGTGCGTCGTGTCAACGCTTGCGCGCGCTTCGCCGAATAAAAAACGAACTACTAACGGAAATTTCCAACGGTGCGTCTTAAGACGCACCGTTGGAAAGGCCTTCTTTCGTTGATTACTTCAAAACGACAGCTTGCCAGAAAGAATATTTTCACAGGGAGTTTAGTCCCCTTACTATCTTTCAACCAAGTATGTTTTTCAACAATAATTACGCCAGTTACTTTTCGGATAGCTGCAAATGATGGACTATAGCTTTAAAGGGGATAGCCTATACAACATTTATTTTTTCTGTAATTTTAAGAAATTGATGGATTTGGAGGTATGGCAAATATTGTATGCGCTGACCTGTTTAAAGTTTTGTGTTCATAGATGCTGGGGAAAAAAAACAAAAACAATATTATGTTCTTGTAGTCTGGTTCCCTGACCCTACTTCAGACAAAACGGGGCAATTTATAGGCGTCGGGGAGTTGTCAGGTCAAGGAACCAGACTAGCTGGTTTGCACTCGTTGCACTCGCGGATGCGTAAATGATTGCAAACAAAATGTAAACTAATTATATTTGGTAAACTGGGGGCACTATTTGAAAAAGTTATTTTTTTCCAATGATGGTTGGCCCAAGATGGTCGGCCCAAGATGGTACATTTGTGTTGTAGGCCGACCATTGTTGGAATCAATACAAAAATTCCAATTTTCTTGACAATGACAGCACACAAGGTGCCATGGTTTCACAGGTTGGTTGAGACTATTACTCACTAACAGTCGAGTAAGGTATTTCATTAAAATATCGTTGTATAATTTGGTATAATTTTGTAAATCTTGTCGATTTGGACAAGATACACTGTGTTCAGCTTTTAGATGTGTTTTGGTAGGCTCTTCATAAGTTCATGATGAATAAAAAAAAAACCTATTAATAGTCAACCCCTAACCACACAGTGTTTATTTGGTTTCTGGGAGTTGAGCCATCCAGTCAATTAAGTTGACTGTTTTGATGTTACAGGGCCAGGTTTTGTGTATCAGCAGGCTTGAGGAAGTAGTCAGGGATGCAGAATACATCTTTGAAGCAGTCATTGAAGATCTAGAAATCAAGCAAAACCTAATTAGAGGTATGGCAAGTGCCCCATTCAAACTTCTTACAAAAGTCAACCATTGGCTCAACTTTGCTGTGTAACATATGTATCTGTTGTGAAGACTTTGTTTCTTTCAGTTTAAAAAATACTGTGAGTATTATTCTGCGTGTAAATGTGTTTTATTTGGGAATGGTGTCCAATCCTGACGTGAAATATAAGCAATTAGGCAACGAAAACAAACAAACAAACACCCCAACAACCCCAACAAACAAACAAACAAAGAAACAAACAAATACAATACTTCCAGTTATCCAACTGACATTATTTTTATGGCCCAACACTAAAATTTTAAAAGGCACTTATTTAAAATAAAAAGGACATGAAAATGCTATCATTCCATCAATTCTGTCTTACCCAATACGCCCCTCAACAACCTGTTTATGTAAAAAAAAAACCACTTTAGAACATTTTTGCTGGTCATTTTGTTAAAACTCTGTTGATTTACAATCAATGAATTTGGTAAGAAACGCACTTTATTTCATGATGCAATGGGCACGTTTTCCTTTGGGTTGGTGAAAGCACATGCGGCATTTGTAATAGTTGAGTGATTCTCGCTGCTAATAGATAATTAGCCAGAATATTGATTGAAGGACCGTGAACAGTCTACAACACTGGAGCTACACGGCCTACATTGCCTACATTGCATTTATGGTTGTATATCATCATTGTAAAAATGCCATGAAAATATCTTTGGAAAGAGTATTTCTGCGCATTATTTCACAAAAGTTGATTTCTTTCTTTTCCATGTATGTATTTCCTGTTTTCAAAATTATTTCAATGTATTTATTTCAAAATTCTTAACTTTGTACTTGTCAAAGTACAATACAATACAATACTTTTCAAAATTATTTCAATGTATTTATTTCAAAATTCTTAACTTTGTACTTGTAGCAACACAGCGTAGTATCTTTTCCAAACTTGATGGCTGCCATACAATACAGACCGTGTTGGTTGTTATTCCTTCATGCTTAATGTTATGCAATTAGTCCTGTGCATAACTTAAAATCTGCATGTTCAGTAAGTATCGTCAGCCTTACTGAGTTTTGGGGACAGTTTTTCATAGCAAAAGTAAACATTTTGGGCTGAATATATGTATTTTTGAAATGGCATACATTGTATAATCGAAAACAGATGTTTTTATTTTTCTTGGCCTTACTGTTTCATTTTTGCTGATTTTTTTTCCTGTTTGCAGAGGTATCTCATCTGTGTAGTCAGGATGCAGTCATCAGCACTAATACTCTCAATCTTGATATACGAGAAATAGCAGTCAAGGCTGCCTACCCCGAGGTACTTGATCATGATGAGTTATCTTCATCACATGATGAAAATTGGGACAGATATTTTTTTAGAAAAATAAACAAATTTTACAATTTTGTGTTAGCTTTTGGCCTTCTTGAAGGTGGAAATAATGTTCATTTCGGACATTTGCCATCTCTTACTTTTCTTCTTAAAATTATAGTTTCTTGCTCATAGAATCCTTCTGTGGGAGAGTCAGACTTTTAGGCAGTAGTGCTTGTTTTTGTTCTTGGCGTGCTGACACCTTACTACCATTCAATTTCCTCAAAGTTTTATTTTTACCAAACATCTACCACTTTTTTGTATCAACCCCGTTTTGGATTCACTGTCTATGCTCAGTGAATGATGGACAAAAATGCACAGAAACAGTAAGTGAGAAACCACTTTTCTTTTGTATGTTCTCATAGAGGGTAATGGGATTGCGCTTTTTACACCCCGTTTACGCTGTGCCAGAAGTGGAGATAAACCCAACTGCTTTCACTGATCAGAAGTGTGTTGAAAAAGGTACGTATGTGTGCAAATGGCACTGGATATGAGAAAATCAGGCTGATGTTGCAAAAACTAAAAAAGCCTGATTTTCAACTATAAAACACAGCTATACAAATTAAGATTATAATTCTAAGAAGAAGTAGTGACTTAATAATGAGAATGATTAAACATTGTTGAGGACAGTTGAGCTGCTGTATGCCCCATGCTCAAGTGTGTTTGTGTCATGTGAAGATGCTGTAAGATGGTGTACATGTATATTCAGATCCAAAATGATGATGTGCACTCTGCACCACAGGCATACCCATACTTGTTCCATAGTTGTGGGGACCACACACGAGTTGTCCCATGGCACTATGGGGACTAAAGACGCTGTGGGGACAGCAGAAAGTCCCCATAACTCGGTCCTAATTTGCCTAACAATAAAAAACTTTCCCATAGAGCGGTGACGGCCCACCCACCCAATCCAGTGCGCACACACACTCACTGTGTTCTTCACTGGCTCTCATGAGTAGTTCACAGTGTCACGCACTGTTCCAGCAAGGAGTGCAAACAGGTTATATTAAGGTTTGTCCAAATTGGATCATTAAATGTTTACATTTTTGGCCATGCTTTCACAAGTATAGAAACTTTTGGGGTGTAAGTGGACTTTGAAAAGGAAATGTACAATTAAGGCTGTTGTGAAGATTTCATGAATGCATTCTGCATAATGATTTCTTTAAGCTTATCTATTCAAGTGTTCTTGACATTCTTGTTGACTTCTTCCATCTAGTGAGGCAGTTTCTAGAAGGCATTGGAAAAACACTGTTTTTCAGGTCAGGCAGAGAGGCACTTATCCTGACACCCGAGCAAATAAACTCCAGAAAATTAGGTAACTCTCATATCCTAATACTTTCTAATGTCTTGTATAGTAGTTACCACATTGACAGTAAAATTGGAGATTATAAGCATATTATAAGTAAAGTCATATGCAGTCGGTCAAATTCATATTTTTCAGTTGCATCAAGGGTTTTAATTCTCATAAGACTTTCCAAACAAACAGCCAGCCGATCCCATTAGCTCGGTGGTCGAGTGGTAAGACATCCGCACTAGAAAGCAGGGGCCATATTCATGAAACCTTACTAAGCCTAGTTGGTTACTAAAAAGGCATGTAGTTGTTTACTAAGCCTGGTTAGTAGCTAGTTGGTATTCATGAAACATTGCTAGCGCCTTGCGATTTTCTCAATGAAACGCGTGCATTGCATTCATCCAGCGTGGTCAATATCTCACGCCCTGCGCTGCTGCTCCATGTTCCAGCGTGACGTAGTACGGTTGGACCAAACCAATTGTGGTGAAGGGTGTGCTTTCCTCGGCCAAATTCACCAGCATTTTCGTTTTTTTTCACCGTATCAGAATTAAAAAAAAATCTTTTTATGGAGTCTGAAACTTTTCTCTTCTTTTCGTTAAGAATGAATACGAAAAACGATGTAATCTCCCAAAAGAGGGTGACACACCACTTTACGAAATTAATGGATCCGTCCACAATATGAATATTCATGGCAGTCGTGAATCGAAAAGTTATTATTTTATACGGTAGCTACTTGTCAGCTTGTTGCTAAAAAATAATTATGATTTCATAAGTTTGGCACAGTAAAAGGACCTGTTTGTTCTTAGAACAAAACTATTCAGCAATTATTGCCACGAGACAAGTTTTTAGTGCTCATCAGGGCTTGCTCGGATGGGACGGAACTCGTCGAGAAAACCCGGCAGCACGTGTGGGAAAATGTTATGGCGATCGTGTAGCGTAGGGCCCCTGTTTTGTTTTGATCAAATTAGAGTCAAAAATGTTTTTTATTGCTAAAAAAAAATCACCTTTATAATCAAAAGCAGACTCCTCAATTCTAATGACACCCGTTTTGCAATATTTAACAGTTTCTTGAGGTAGAAATCACGATTTTCCTGCGCTGTTTGTACCTTGCGATTCAGCGCGCCGTGTGTACTCATGGTACATCGCGTTGTGATCACCATCTTTATTTTCGGGTTGCGTGTTGTGTTGCCGCGCTGTCATCGTCATTTTACCCCCAAATTTCCCTAAAAAAAATCAAAACCCTACCCTCTATCTATGACATACCTGTTTATTGAGAACCAACTAGTTAGGTCTGTCTAATAATTTTAAAGTGGAATTTGTTTTCTTAAGTCAGATGTCGGGCCCTACGTCGATCGCCAATTTTATCATAGTTGCTGGGCCCGATAGGGCTGCGATAGGTAACACGGTAGCAATTTATGATGTTCATTTCTCAACGTCATCAAGTCAAATTATAACAGACTTTTGCTTACATAACAAAAACAAGATTCATCCTTCACCTTGTGTTGAATAGCATGTGGAAATTGCAGTGCCTATTTCTGTCAGACGTGCGCGGTACATACGTGTTTGTTCGAACAGGGGAACGGCCTATGTATGCTTTTCATTGTAACCTAATACATTGTATAGACATGTATATTACGTATGCACTTCCGAAGCCGAACCGAACCCCAACCGAACCCCGAAGTTCGGAGAAAAAAAACCGAACCGAACCGAACCGAACTTTGAGGATCAGTTGCAGCACTATTTCCCCCTCCAGTTGCCTTCTTGGACTTTCACATACCGGTACTCGACAGGCACTCTCTTGACTCAGATTTTAATTTGGATAATTCAATTTTTAAATCATACAATGATCCTTCTTTTTCTTGTTAGTGTTTGCATCCTTATGCTTAGCATCAATAATATCTTTTAATTCCTGATACTTGTCTGCCATATAGAGTTCTCTTCTTTAGAATCATTTGCCTTCCTTGCCCTTTTTGTAGCCATGTCTGATAACTTAGCTTTATATGCAATTGCTAGAGAATTTGATATTGATTAAATTAAATGCAGTACACTACAATAAATATGGGCCCTTTTTCCTTTCTTTTTGCTAATCCACGCAAGTGCTGGACATGGATTAGCCTAATACATCTGTCGCACTATTGTATCTGTTGTCATCACATTCCATACATGCCCACTCCACCAAAAAGCACCCGATTCTAGTTACTCACATATGCAACTAAATTCTCCTAGTATGTAACTAGTTAGCAAGGTTCTTAGTAAGGTTTCATGAATAACAATTTAGGTGTCAACTCCATAGTAGACTACTAGGCATTTTAGTGTCCTACTAAGGCCTAGTTGGTTGCTAAGTTAGTAAGGTTTCATGAATATGGCCCCTGGAGGTCGTGGATTCGAGTCCCAGAAGGTAATACACTGAGTATACAGTGTTAATACGTCGATGAAGGGCAAAACCTAATTTGATTTACATCACCCCGACGCAAAAAAATAATCTTATGAATACAAACAAACAATCAAACAAATAAAAGAAACAATACTTTCCTGGCTTTAGTTTTTGTTTGTTAGTTATTTGATTTTTTTAATCCTAGCACGCAGGCAGCAGTTACTACGACAGCATGGTATGCTGGGAATACCAGATCGGGGAATGCCTCATCTTGGACACGGTGGCAACTTAACACCACCTCAAGATGATGAATGTGGTGAGTCATACATCTTGGAAGTTTTAGCATAGATCTTATTCTTGGCTTGGAAAGGTACATCTGCTTTTCCCGACAAATTATTTAAAAATCATGTTGGTATCTTTGTCCTGAATGTGTTATTTCTTGATTTGTTTATGTTACATTACTTTGAGTTGGTGTTCTACGTTTGCTACATTTTTGGATAAAGAAGTTACCCATTGGGGAAGAATTCCATACATGGACATCATTATTTTTTTCCAGCAGTGACTGTCAGCAATCAGAAAGCAATAACATGTCCTAAAAAGTCAAATTTAGCAAGAAAAATATTGAAGCTTTTACTGAGAAAACACTTAGAATTTTTCAGACAAGTCTCATAGGGTTTGTGCACAGGGTGTCAAGTGATGTCCAGGTATGGAACTCTTTCCCAACCATGTTTTACAGGCTTATGTGTGAATTGTCCTTGCTGCAAGTCAATATGCGGTGTCATCACTTATATGGGCACTGCTTTTTTAGACAGTTGATCATTGATCCATAAATGCAAGAATTCACAAGATGGAGTTATTAAAAATGCTGGCCCAAATCTGTATCTTGCAAGCATGCATAAGTAAGCCAAAATGCACAAGTGAGTGCACAGTTTCAGGTCCGTCATAGATTTGGCGTGCCACCTCACACTTGCCAAAACCCAGAGTTGTAGTGACTAAAGTCAATGACTCAACTTAAGTCGGACTCGAGTCACAATTGACTCGAGTAACTGACTCGACTCAACTCGAGTCACTGCGAGCAAATGACCTGACTCGACTCAAGTCCCTTATCAGAAGACTCGACTCGAGTGGAAAGCTAATAAGACTTGAGTCCCAAAACTGTGTGAAAATATGTTTGCGGTGACTTAAGGTACAAAGCTATTTATGCTCATGCACTTTGCATTACTGGTACCGTCATGTTATGGCCGCTTAACGCGTAAATATATGGTGGTTTTGCACAGTAGATGGTACGTGCGTGGCAGTATGAGGCCAGCTATATGTATGCTGTGTTGACAGTTGTTCACCCTGTACCTAAATATGCATTATGTTTTTTACTTCAACCTCTCTAGCATCTGTCTTCGAGATATAACTTTGTTTCTAAACTAAAAATGGTTTGAAATAAAAAGAATCTATAATAATCGCTGTATCACACATCAAATTTCCCCAAACTTCAAAACCTACCACTCTTGGAGAAACATTTTTCCTTAAAAATTATATGTAAAAAAGTAAAATTAAAAGACAAGCAGAAAGTGTCATGCTTCACTGATCTTGTTTATTATTGGCCGGTATTAAACATTTCAAAGTGGTATTTCAAACCACCCACATGATGAGCTGTTGATCAAAAGGAATGGGTAAACAGTCCAAGGTATTTATTACAACTTGGTATTCTCTATGCTGTAATGTTCAAAATGTGCTCCTTCAACACAAAGCCAAAGAAGTAAGTACTTTATATGACATTGATTGCCACAAATTGACTGCTTTCTTCATGGGTCAGAATGAATTTATCCTAAAAACATGATGTTAGAGTGTTTGAATTCATTGACAGCTTCAGTTTGGTTTTACTCTGACAGGCAGGTTGCATGTTCGTGAATGAATTTCACTGTTGATGGCTGAAAATACTGACTGGACTGCTGGGTCAGGGTCAGTCATGTCAGATCCAGTCTAGTGCTTTCAATAAACGTATTAGACCGGTAGTGATTTGTCACACTTTTACACAAAGCACATTTGACGATGGATTACTAATAATGTAATTGTAGATAGGTAGGAGACTAGTTGGGAGTTCTATGCCGTCTGAGGATGCCCAGGGTATACTGCAAGGAAGTGACTCTCCTCATACCCCAAGGTGCAAGCAAGGAACAACCTGCTCTGTCATCTTGCTGGAACCAACTGGGGCGCTAGCTTCTCTGTTCTCCGCACCTCCTCCCTCGCACTCTCCTACTCTACTGCTGAATATTGCGCACCAGTGTGGTGCAGGAGTAGCCATTGCCAACTAGTGGACAAGGCCCTGAACAACACAATGCGCCTTGTGTCTGGGTGCATTCGATCTACACCTGTCGACAATCTGCCAATCACTAGTGGCAAAAGCCCGCCAGCCATCAGACGAGAACAACGATGCCATCAACTTGCACTATAAGAGCGCTCAGAAATGAGAACCACTTACTCTGCCATCTAACCACCGACCAAATCCAGAATCCAAGACTGAAGTTTAGGAAACCGCTTGCAAATCACCTGCAAAGCCTCCTAATAACTGCTGACAGTCACACCCCGGAAACCTGGGCGATGCGTCAATGGGAGGAACAATGGTCCATGTCCACATCAAGGCTCCATGGCTACATTGACAAACCCAACAACAAGCCGCTTGGATGTCACCTACCCAGAGCAGCTTGGTGCAGACTGAACAGATGCCGAACTGGTCATGGTCGATGCCGGGCAAACATGCTCCGGATGGGCCTGATTGCTAGTCCAGCCTGTGAGTGTGGGGCTGCCCTCCAAACAGCCGCTCACATCACCAGCGACTGCCTGCTTCACAACAGCCCAAGCAAGGAGTCCTTAAGGCCAAAAAAAAAAAATCTCTGGTTTCTGGTATGCGCGCGCGTCGCCGTAGCCATGCACGTCGGCAAAATGAAAAAGTTTTTTTTTCAATAAAAGATGATGTCTCAAAACCGCCAAACTCACTGGCTGCTGCACAATTTTAACGTGTTTTTAGATGGGGTTATGATCAAGTATAAGCTTTATGTGGCCTCTCCGGACTCCCATATATTTGCACTAGGTTTAGTCAGGCACCATTTGCAGTCGTCAGCCGACATTTGAAGCAAAAAAAACAGGTAAAATAAAAAAAAAAGCCGCTTCGCCGCACCACTTTTTGGGCAAGCTCCATACCAGAAACCGGAGACTTTTTTGGGGGGGCCTAACCCTAAAGGGGCCGGGGGGGGGGGGGGGGGGGGGGGGGGGGAATCCACCCCCCCTCAACTTTTTCCGCAATAGCCTTGACAATCTTTTTGTTCACGACCCGGGCTGAACTGACTTTTTAGCCTCTAGCCTTGCGCATCTTTTGATACCAAAAACATAAAAATCGGACCTAAGGTTGCTACGCGCCGTGCAAACTAAATTTTCCCATACGTTGTGTACACAGAGCAGAATTACCATTCGTGCCTATGAATAATTAATTAGCCATAATTCCAAAATCCTTTGACCTATAGTCATGAAATTTCTTGGGTATGTTCATGATAAGTTGTTCTATGCATGTACCGATTTTCAAATTTTTCGTCACTCGATGGCCGAGATCTTAGGGCTGAGAGATGGTCAAAATAACCCAGCCCTTTTAGGGTTAAAGGAACTAGACAATACAGCCATACAATGGCTTACTAAACACCAATTGTATTATTAAATTGTAGATTAAATCGAGACACACGCATACTAATAATGTTTGTCTTTTTTATCAGCTTGTTCACCATTTACCATTTACTAACAACAATTGAGAATGGTCACTGAAAAATCTTCTTCTTTAGGCAAAAGCCCTGTAAACTTACTTTGATCTGCTTTATTTCCAAACATCATTCTTACAATAATGAACAATTAAAGTGAACGCAATATTCAGCAATCTCAGGTGATGAATGGTGGAGGCTGGCAGAAAGCCCAAGCTTGCACTTGGCCAGGCACCCGTGATTAAACAATTACATTTAAATTTAACGAAAAAGAAAACACACTTCAAGTTAAATAAATAGATATAAAACTTCTTAACTAATTATGAATTATGACAGGAACACAGTAATAATATTACCATGCATTAATATTATTTAATTACTATTACTAAGTAGTTTGTTCAGTTGAATTAATAAGCTAAACATTTGGAACAGTTTATTTAGACAAATAAATGGGTCCTTCATGTTTAACCGTAGATAAATATTTAGATGTCCTTACCCCATACAAATGCAAGTTCCTTGAATTCCTTGTATTACACTGATGGGTGTTTTCATTCTTTGTGAAAATACCAGAAAGTGAAGCAGGAAATAAATTCCTATCATATTTAAACATATTGACTCCAAGGTGGTATTTATATAACTCAGGGATAGGGTGTATATTAAACTGGTGACCAAGGGGTGCAGCGTGTGCTCTTGAATTTGAATGGTTTATTACCCTGAGTGATTTCTTTTGTATAACAAACAGTTTGTTTTAATTAGATAAGTTGCCATTACCCCATGCTAGTGTTCCATGTTGCAGTTGTAGAAAGTAGCGCTTCTGTTTGTAATATATCCTTAACCTTCCAGAGTATACCAAGGGTACAAGGAATTGACATATGAACCTTTTGACAGTAACATTTCCAAGTAAGTTTGTTATATGATTACCCTTAGAAAGGTGTTTTGACAAACCAGCACCCGATTTCATCAAACTCTTCGTAACTTACGATGCATCGCAGCGATGCGACGCGTCGTATCCCCACGATGCGTCGCAGCTGCGACGCGTCCTGCGATCCATTTCACAAAACACGTCGTAAGTGCGACGCGTCGTAGGTGTATTTATAGCACAACTCGGTGACTGTTTTATGTATTTAGTCAGCGTACAGTAAATAGTCGTCTGATATTCAACAAAGAGTCGTCGGATCTCAGCTCGAAATTTGTTAAAACGTAAAACAAAATGGCGGCCGTGCGATGCAATTTTGAAGGAAAACAAACTCTCATTGGACTGTATAGCTACTTTGAAATTTCAATTCTAATATTCCGGTCTAATTCATAATTATTCAATGAATTTTCTATTTACAACTTTACACACATTGCGTCGGTATAATAATCTCGTTAATGTAATGTTTATGGCATAAAACTGGCTTAGAAATGACTCTTCTTATTTTGCGACGACCGCTAGACACGTCTTAACTTGCGACGTGTTTTAAGCCGTTGTCAAGGAACTTATAACGCGTTCAACACATCGCAACTTTCGTGAAAAGGAAGATACGACGCGTCGCGAGTTGCGCCGTGTTACACGTCGAAACTCGAGTTGCGACGCGTTGCAGCGCTTCGTGAAATCGGGTGCTGGCTTATTAAGGTATTATTAAAAACAATGTTATGATTTCTATTTAGATCCTTGTTTGAAAATACCATACAGCATGTCTTTTAAAATTAACTGACAATCTATTGCAATTTATCTATTTACAAACACATTGCAGTTCCCTATTTATGACACTTACTGCTCCTTCTGATCTCTATTACTATAAATATATTTATATCATCTGCAAATGAAATAAGTTTAACTGAAGATCTGAGGATTTAGGTAAATCGTTTACAAGAGGAAGAGAATTGGCCCTAATATAGACCCTTGAGGAACACCACATGAAATCAGTTGTAGAGAAGACACACTATTTTGCCATACAATGTACTGCTTTCTGTCATTTCAATAATTTTTGAACCACTCAAGCACCATACTTCTACTCCATTTTTGCTCATTTTATTTTTAGTAATACATGGATATCATGGTTGATCGTATGCCCTTTAATCTCATAGAAGTTGCACCCACATTCATAAATACCTGAGAAAGATTACCCATTCCTATTGGTCAAGAGCCTGTCACATGAGTGGTTTTATAATGCTGATAAAACAGCTTGTTTAGTAAACACAACAAAAACTCCTGCACTGCTGCATTGTGCACCACATTGCACATGCCAATATGTGCCACGGGCGCGCCAATCTCCATAAAAGGAGATTTTTAGCACTAGGTGCGTGAGGCACATACCATGGACACGACCAGACGAGTGTTTCACAAAACATGAGGCGTAATTGTTGAACAAAATGACTTTTGACTTTTTGACCAAAAGGTATTTATGAATGGGAATAAATATGTGCTTGGCTGGTATTAAACAAGTACATGTATGTTTAAAACCAGCTAGGGGCCTGGTTGCAGATAGTGACCCTCGCCGGCCCCAAGCAGGTTTTAAACGAACTTGTTTAAAACCAGCCAAGCACATATTTATTCCCTTAATAAAAGCCCTGAATGTAATGAACAGATTCCATTCTTTTTCTGTTAATGAAAAGTGCTTCACATTTTTTGTAGCAAAAGGGACTCATCACTTTAACCACATCCTTGAAAATTTGCGATGACCTCACAGAAGAAAGTCTGCTCCTAAACTGGAAAAAAATCAATACTTTCCTTATTCATACATTCACAGTATGCAAAGGGTTTTGTCTAGAGGTTTTTCATGATTCATGTGTTTAGTTCATATTCATTTGTTTCTCATTAAAACACAGTAATAACCTTATGTGAATAATCATTTTATACTTTTTTTTCCTTAAAAGGGCAAATTTTCACAAAGTTTTTATTCAAATAGACAAGCCATTATTCATCACTTTAGATGTTCATGAAAGCAAATCAGTTTCCAATGTTAAAGGTTTTTTTACTTCAGTTAAATGTTAAGCAATTTGCTACTCATTGTTTCATCGTTTCACTCATTATTCAATGTTCCACTCATTGTTCTTTACTAATTTTGTTTTTCATTAACCTTTTGGTCGTTCTCAGCCACTGTTGTTGACCGTGACTGTGCTATCTGTATGGACAGGCCCAGAGACTGCCTTCTCTGCCCTTGCCACCATCTGGTTACGTGCCACGATTGTGCAAAATCACTGATGAATCGCAGGGATTTCTGTCCCATTTGTCGGAAGGAGATCACAGAGACTATCAGGGTCTACACTTCATAAGGGCAGGCTTCAATATCGACTATCAGCAGATAATATGCTTTCCTTAATTACTGCTCAATTGGCATCGTATAACAAATGGCCTTTGTTATGCCAATTTGACGATCCAGCAGGATAGGTAAAGTAGGCGGACCTGATTGACCTGATCAAGTCAGGCTGAGCAAGCTTCAATAGTATGCTTATCAAAACACAGTACAATGTATGAGTTTTTGCTATTCAATGACACATCAGAAGCAATGTTCATTAGGAAATTTACCTCTAACTGCCTCGTGAACCTGGTCAAGCATGACTGACCATGGGTCAGAGACTTGTACAGATGTGGCTGATCCTCAGCATTGATATTTTCATTTTTCTAGCTGTAAGCAGTGTCTGCTCTTTTGTCAAAAGCAAACTTAGGGATTCTTAAGGTTCTCTAAGAAAAAAATAAAGAACCTAGTCATTCTTCTTTAGACATGGTCCAATTGCTCCTTCAAATGGAAGTATTTTCTCAGCCATCACATTATAATTGCTTGTCAGCCACCTATCAATTGTGTTGCCAACAACAGAAGTTGTAAAAATCAATCATTGGCCATCAGACTAGGTTTTTTTGTGGCGTGAGAAAGGTTTGTCACACATTTCAAAGTGGTTTTCGATTAATCAAGCAGAAAAATGTTACCAGCTAACTGACACAGAGATCAATAAGTTGAATAATCAAATTGATCTTGTTGGCCCAGCCTCCTTCCCCTCCCCACCAAAAATCCAAAGAACAATGCCCAGCCCCCCCCCCCTAAAAAAAACCCTGGTTTTTGTTCCAAGTCATTCCAACAAAAAGTAGCAAGTAAATATCCTCAAACCCTGTTTTCCAAGTCATTGAGGTTTTAGGGGGGGGGGGGGAGGGGGCAAATACTGATGTGTGAAAGTCTGGCAGGACATTTATGATGCATTTTCTGTTTAATCTTTAAAGTGGAATGCATGTATGTTTTGCTCAACAATTTTTTTACAGTATACATTAATGTTCTTAATGATGGCATGAATGGACCAAATTGCATTTGTTTCATTGTTCTAATCATATCCATGCTTCAGGACGGACCTTCTGTAAAAAAAGGCTCAATACCTTTTTCTGTTGAATTTTTTCATTTCAAAATTTTTGTTTGACCAAAAGTAACTAAGCATAATATGCTTCTAAAATAAAAGTTTAATTTATCATGTTATATGTATGTATAGAATTTTAAATAACTGACTCTGTTTGTTAAAAAAAAAGCACGGTATGTCTCTTGTATTTGCAGAGGTTGGTTTATTTTATGTTAAATTGTATTTTTTTTAAAGATAACAACATGCAGTATTCTCTGTTTATTTTAAAAAAAAAATGTATCATGTTATATGTATGTATAGAATTTTAAATAACTGACTCTGTTTGTTAAAAAAAAAAGCACGGTATGTCTCTTGTATTTGAATAGCTTGGTTTATTTTATGTTAAATTGCATTTTTTTTTATTAAGAGAACAACATACGGTATTTTTTGTTGTGTGGAAATGAATGCCTAATTAGTGCAATATTTAATGTTTGTTAATAGACAGGAAAAGTTGGACTCCTCACTCAAAAAAATGGAGAGGCACACCTGTTCATATCATCTAAAAATATATTCCTATCAATGGGACCAGTCAGTAATGCAGAAGGATAGCCAGTTAGTGGGTTATTGCAGGTGGGGGTGAGCATTGGCATTCCTGCTTCAATGGTTTTATTTCTCATGCTTAACAATTGAGAGATTCGATCATAATGTAGACAAATATTACATGTAGATTATACCATGAAACAATTGGTACATCCCAGGGTCTAATTACATCGTATAGAATCCTGCATAATATAGGTTTCCCAGCCAATTTCCTGAAATGGTCATTCACTTCTAAAAATCGGTCATTCGTTTTCATCTGAATTTGAATGCATGCCTTTAATTCATTTCAATACAATGAAAAACCAATCGTTTTCATTGTACGTGCATTCGGTTTGGAGAAACAGACGACCAATTACGTTATCTGTGCATTCATTTACGCAAGCATACCTTTTTAAAACTGATTTCAGGTACAGCTAATTTGATTGACGGTTAATGAAAAAGAAACCCTTAATTGTATCTGGTGCCGATGGCATTTAAAACTAAAAGTGAAATAGAATGGTGAATGTTTGAAATCGCCCTCTAAAAGCGAAAAAGAAGTGTTATAAAGGAATGTGAATGGACATAAATGAAAGGTGCTGCTCAATCACTTAATTGATTGAACTGAAATGAAATCGAATGCTCTGGAAACAAAAATGAAACACGTGTACAGAGCGATTCTCAAATTCAGACGAAAATGAATGACCGATTTCCAGAACTTAATGAAAATTTTAGGAAATTGGCCGGGAAAACCTATATTAAAATATGCAAGATAATAATTTATTGACCTCAAAACACAGTCAAACATGAAGACTTTTACCTATCTTTATCACCTTGATATTTTGTGCGAAACAATATCTTCAAAGCTCGTATATTAGATCAAATAGGAGAAAAGCCTTGCAAATTGCACCGCTAGGGTTTCATGCCAGGCCAAATGTATTGTTATATTGGTTTTTGCAGCTACCTTAACAGTTGTATCATAGAAATTCAATGGAAAGATATGTACATGAACTTTAATTTAATGCCACAACATCATTGGGCTTCATTATTAATATAACAGTTATTCGTCTTAGTGCTTAAGTCATATCAGTATCAGCATTCCCTGCATGAGGAGATTGAAGGATGAAATTAATCAAACTATGAAGCTATTCAGTATTTATCATTGATTGCCATGATTGTTATAACAAAATTCATCCATAAAACGTGTTGTTTGTGCTCTTCAATGATTTGATTCCTGTTTATTTTTGCTGCTAAAAAAAATAAAATTAAAAAAAAAAAAAATTCTGGACGTCTGGAACCCTCTGAAAATAGACTTGTATTGTGGGTTGCTTTTGTGCACAAGCAGGTCTGCCCTCCCTAAATTGTTGATAGGGAGGCAGGAAACAGTCAACAATTGTCAGGATGCAAATAATTTGAAATGTGCAAAGTAATTATTCCATTGCTAAACGAGGGCCAATGTTTTCATTGGGTGTCTCATTCAAAAGTGAGTAACTTTTGTAATGCCAAAAAAAAATGGCAATTTAAAAATACAAAGGTGAAACTCGAAAATAGCACAGACAGTATATCTATAAGATATTTGCATTTGCCCTTTATCTAAATAAGAAATTCAAGGCAAAATGGGTTGTAACCCTTGTTTAATGTCTATGCCTGATTTTAAAGCAAAATTTCAGTATAAGGAATATACGTTATTTCAAATTTATAATTGGAATTTCAGCATTTCAGCTTGCCACCAACAAAATAGAATCATCAGAATACAACACTCCCTGAATTACACTGCACTCAAAAAGATAACTATTGTTGGAAATTTGATATTGATATTAAGCCCAAAGATATTGTTCAATGAAAATAAGGTATATTTCCATCAAATATGTGAGATTCAAGTGTTTAAGTAGCTGGTAAACCCTATAATGGAAGCAGGCAGTATTGTGGGGATATTGTCCCTAGCTACTTAGCTCCCATGTGAAAGTGATAATAAAGGTTATGGTTGTCTGATTTCTCAAGACATGCAAGTAACATTGCCGGTTTACATGTATATACAGAATTCAAACTACGTATACCACCCACTGCTTTATCTCAATGTTTATTAACCTGTGAGTTGTATGGTTGTACATTGTGTGAGTATTCTACAACAGCTTTCAAGTCTAGGCACTGTCAATAAAAGCTACGTCAATGTGAATACATAGTTGGCCTAAATTTTGCCCCTAGTTGGCTTTTAAAATTCTTCATACCATAGCCCTTGAAAATTTGGATAATTGGACTTGGGGCTATTTGGTCAATTGCCATTTATCGTGTACGTACGTTTTTGAAAATAGACAAAAAACGTTTCAGGATGTTATAATAGGGAGAATTTGCAACGTCAGTTTTCATTTTTTTAATCAGTGGCGATGTTTGTGGCACAAGTACTGATATCAGGTACAATGTTGACATTGGGCTTCCTAATGCTGTGACATCTTTAAACCGAAAGTTGGGTGGTATCAGTACACATACTTGTACGTTCATTGTAAATTTAAGATTTTACAGACATTCTTGTCACTTCATGATATTTATCTTTATCAACATATCAACAAATCAACATATTTGCAAATTTTTAACTGATGACGTCATCTAACCGAGAGTAACGTGTACATGTAAATAAAATGTATAAGGAATTTATTTAAGCCCCAAGGGACGCATTTTTTGGTTGAAATTAAAACAAATGGATCCACAACAAATAGTTGTCTGCCCGATCACCCTGCGTTTGTAACTCAACAAACGTGAATGTCTAGTTTGTTATGGTTACAGCCCAATAGTCCGAAGGCTCAATAGTCCCAATAGACGATAGGGTGCGATAGTCCGAATTGACAATAACGTTGGATAGCTTAGTGGCTGCAATATAACATATTAATTGTTCGTTTCTACTGTGAGCTTGGTGTAGTTGAGTCAGGTCCGTACCAACCCTCCTCAGGTCGTCCAGAAGTTGCTGTTGATAGGCTCGCATAAGTGCGCCACCTCTTCGGTATGGTTCTGTAGGTTGGTTGTTTTTGTCCAAGAGCAATTAGAGGGGTGTGTCACGCCTGGTTGCGTGTGCAATCAGTTGTAGGCGGTGTTTGCGAAGGGTTGTTGATGCCTGTGGAATTTTGGTTTGGCGATAAAGTTCAACATTGGTGATGCGTTCGGGGTATCTGATGTTGAGTGCGTAGCAAAGCTCGATGTGATGCGTTGATGGTTTTCGCGAGCGTTTCTGTTAGCGTCCGAATAGATGATAAGGTTCAATAGTCGGAATGTACGGTAGGGTTCGATAGTCCGATTTGACAATAAGGTTCGATAGTCCGAATGGACAATATGGTTCGTCAGTCTGACACTTAGGACTATCGGACCTTACTGTCGATTCGGACTATCAACCTTATTGTCAATTCAGAATAACGAGCCTTCGGACTATTGAACCTTATTTTCGTTTCGGACTATTGAACCTTCGGACTGATTAGCCTTATTCTAAATTAGGACTACCGAACCTTCGGACTAATGAACCTTCGGATTAATGAACCTTCAGACTATTGCATCAAATGTTCGGATTAACAAACCTTATTTCACTTTCGGACTAACCAACCCCCTCTTATGGAAATTTTGTGCATTCAAACTATCGAACCTTCGGACTAAAGAACCTTTGCACTATCGGACCTTCAGACTATCGGACCTTCGGACTGTCGGGCGGCCCCCGTTTGTCATTATGTTTTGGGGGTTTTTTTTGGTGTTGATGGGGTTCCAGACAGGAAGGTGGAAATAAAAAAGGTGTTTTTAATAGGGTCGGTCGGAAATGAATACCAAAGAAATAAAAAGGGATGCCTATTAAAAAACTTTTCCAAAAGAGAAGGGATGGAATCAATAACTCGGGTGGCAGAAGATTGAAATGATTCAATTTGTGCTGGTAGAGAGTAGAAATTACAAACATTGCATGATGATGTACAAGTGTGTGTATTAGGATTATGATGCCAAACTACTTGAAGTGCTTTTATTTGTTACCACAATGCGACCTGTGTAACCATATTGTGTGAGGTGATTAATGCATTTGTCCAGCGCCTAACCCTGACTGGAGACACAAAATTTAATTTAAAAACAAAACAACCCAAACAAACTAGAAATGTGTTCGTGTGTGAACACAAGCTGTTTCGTCTGTTTTTGGAATGGCTCTGTGACGTGATGACAAAATGTTTCATCATGAATTCATGTCACTAAAAATGTCACTAAAAAAACCTATGGAGAAAAAAAAACATCTTTAATGTGACATAATATGACAAAATCTTCAGCATACATCTTCAGATGGTGGCTTAAGTGTGTGCCAAGTCTGAAGTCGATCGGATTTACGAAAGTGCCAAAGTGTATGGGTAGAAGGAAAGGAGTCTGAAAAAGAAAAAAAAAAAGGGGGGGGGGGAAACAGGGGAAAAACATTAACGAAAACAAGAGCTGTTTCGGAGTATGTACTCCAAAACAGCTAATAAATGTCTTTCTAACATACATTGTATTTTGACACCATAATTGTTGATGATATGCTAGAGATTTCAATGTGCATGTTGGTACATAGGAACCAGATGTGGTACCATACCATATTCGCTCTTTTTACACTCCACCATTGGGCATGCAGAGCCTTGATCTGGCAACTTTACACAATAAAAAAAAAGCCGGTTCAGTGATCTAAACCCCGACACAGGAATCACCGAACCAGCTATATGTATTGTGTAAAGTTGCCAGATCGAGGCTCTGCATGCCCATGGCGGAAGTGTGAAAAGAGCGAATTGCCATTGACAATTCAAATATCAGTGCATAACGAAAGTCCCAACCCACAGGGAAACTAAAATTGCAATGTGTACCGAGTTGACTTTTTGAGGGGAAGTGTAGCTTAGGGGTTAGGGTTTGTGACTCAGGGTCAGGGGGTTGAATCCAGCTGCTGGTCATATGTTGTGTCCTTGGGCAAGCCACTTCATTCCCATTTGCCTATCTCCACCACCCAGGAGTATAAATGGGTACCGGCATCAGCTGGGGAGTACCCTTCGCTGGACTGGCATCCCATCCAGGGGCAATACAAATGGTCTTAGTCTTTTCATGCTACTGAAACCGGAGATAAACGCCGGCCTCATGGGCCATATTGGCTCAGGACAGACTTTACTATTTTTACCGAGTTGACTTTACACAGAGTCATGCCCATTGGCGTCATGTACATGTATACTCTCAAGCCTACAAATTTCATGGTTTATTCGAATATTTGAGTTCAATTCATATTTTAATCCATCTGAATTCAAAGTTGGTGCATTTTCAGGATTTTAGTAATCATGTGTGGATTGTCTTGTGGTCTGCAGCATCAAACTCAAGATTTGTGGGTAATTCTACGGATTGTGTGTGCGAGCCATTTCTGAAGGGGTTTGTGGTGTAGCTGACCTTGGACAAGACACTGTCACTTATATTGCTTGACCAACCAATGCGTGCATGTTAGGGCACAGATGGTCACTGTGAGTTTAGCTGCTTTGCGCCGAAATGGCAGCATCAAGATCCAAGCCTTCAGGGAGCTAAAATGGTCTTTTGAAATATTTTAGGGGTAAATGATCCCGAAGAATGATTTAGTGCATTGTGCATCCAATACTGTTGGAATATTTAATACATATGCAGCTTTTTTACAATTTCTTATCAACTGTACTTTGGTTTACTGAAAAAACCCAGCAACTTAAAACAGCGATGTGGATGCAAGACACACCACCATAACTGAGAACATATACAGGGTGTCCCTGTATATGTTAAGAGGGACAATCAACTAATCTGAATGTTTTTTTTCTTCTTTCAATTGATGGACTTGTGTTGCAACTCAAGATGCGTTCCAAACTATTTTATAAAGGACAGAGTTTTCAGCAGTCCACCTCCCAACCTTGGGGATTTGCAGGCCTGCATGCAGCACCAGGTTGGCAATTTACATAATAAACCTGCAATGATGAGATAGGCGGTGGGAGATATATGCCAGTATGCCACTGTGAACCATGTTGAAAGGGCAAGTAGACATGTGAAAGGTGTTGGGTGTATAAGGTGTTGAATTCTGAATGATTGAGATCATCTATTCACAGAAATCCTTTATGTTTGTTCTCGTGTTCAAGTTAAATATCCCTTGAACCTTCCTAAGGCCCAAAAAAAAAGTCTCCGGTTTCTGGTATGCGCGCGCGTCGCCGTAGCCATGCGCGTCGGCAAAATGAAAAAGTATTTTTTTCAATGAAAAATGATGTCTCAAAACCGCCAAACTCACTGGTTTGACTGGAATCCTGCTGCTGCACAATTTTTAAATTGGGTTATGGTCGAGAATAAGCTTTATGTGGCCTCTCTGGACTCCCATATATTTGCACTAAGTTTAGTCGGGCACCATTTGCAGTCATCAGCCGACATTTGAAGCAAAAAAATCAGGTAAAAAAAAAAAAAAAAAAAGTCGCGTCGCCGCACCACTTTTTGGGCAAGCTCCATACCAGAAACCGGAGACTTTTTTTTTTGGCCTAATCTAAAGTCTGCATGTGCTCATAATGTTTCATCCCAACCATCATACATGATGTTTTCACATCATACAATTGTCAAGACAATGGACCTTAGTGATGCATGACCACATGATTACCATGGATATTTCACTACCCTATTTTATGATATAAATAATAATGGTCATAAAGCATGTTATGTACGTAGCTTGGTGATAACATTTGTAGCTTGGTTAAAATTATTATTATTTTTTTTAATCAACAAAATATTGGATTTTTAAAATTTAAATCAGAATGTTTCTATATAAACCAATTTTTTTAAATTTTATTTTATTTACAGTACCCATCTGTAAAACTGTTCATTTTGCATTGCATTTTTACCTTTTAATTTTCATTAAATATGAAACTGTTTATTTAACTTTAAATTGGTTGATAGTAGCCGTGTTCCACGTGATGCTACTTGTGCGGTGTGTCAATGAAGCTTTTGAAAGTTATTCGTTATTTGCATAAATTACACATTTATGGTGACTTGTCAAATATCAATACATGTACATGTACAATTTAACATGTCCAGTTGACAGAATACTAAAATGGGAAACAGTATTTCATTTCATGTTATGTTTTATTTGCAAAGAACCCACAAACGTTTAAAGAAAAATAATTATCAAATCCATTCATCCAGTGCAAGACATAATGACTAAACCAATGTCTACACCAAAAATAAACAGTTTTTTGTTTTATATACAAGGCACTGTGAAAAGCTTTACTTTTTAATCTGGAAGCACAGATATACAAGCATCAGGCATTTTGTACTGCTTGAACGCAATGCTCACTGAGTGGTTAGTATTGAAACTGACACAATAAAGGTGCAATTGTCAGAAAGATTGGTTTCATAGCTGCAATTGTAGACACTGTTAATGTCAGGTTTTGCTTAGGGTGGGGGCCTTTCAAAAGATGTTACTCCCATCACTAGCAGATCTACAATTTTCAAGCGATCATTTTTAAAGATATAAATTACAGTGTTGCAATACTAACCACCGGCTTATAATTATTAAAAAAATCATTCTCCGAAATTCCTTACTTTTGCTGTTAAGGCACAGAAGGTGGAATCCTATTTGCTAATCTTTTCAGATTTTTGTGCATTTCATATAAATCTATATAGGCCCTGTAAATTACCTTATTAGTGTTTTTAGTGAAAATGTAACAAAACGTTAACTCTACTCAATACGATAAATGTCTAAATACAATTACACAAAAACTCTTAAGTGATTACTTCAACATATTTTCTAGGACACTGTCATCTATGCATGATCATCACAGGGAGCCATTTACAAGTGGTTAGATGACCTGTAACAGTCATTACGCAGCTCACTCTACGTTCCAATATTAATGTGAAAATATAGTTTTGAAAGCTAGATCTACACCTTAAGACTACGACAGGTTACTGATATCCTACCAACTTAGTTATATAAATGTTAAACATGGAAGGAATTTTACGATACACAATATTGCAATTTTGTAAGTGGCAGGTATAATAAGGTTACAAGACAGTGGATAGATATTTATACCGTACATAGACACTACTGGTAAAAGGTAGCAATGTATAAAAAAATTATGAATATACAAAGGGTTTAGTACTAATGAGTCAGCCAGCGCATTCAAAATTTGAACCTGTACATTTCACCAACTTGACAAACACTACATACATACAAGTTTGTTCAATTATTTGGTTTTGAACAAATTTCATTATTTACAAGGCATGGGTTATCTGCTTTGCACCTGAAAGTGTCCTTATATGTAATTCCTTACAAATCGTTCTCTTGTTAACAAGTCAATTTTGTGATACATTTTAAGCTGAAAATCAAAATATAGTTAGCTTCCAAATCTTTAAAATGAAATAGCTGTTCCTGGTTGCAGTTTCATTTGAGTTCAAATTCAAAATTAAAGTTAATTTGTTGTCAAAATTGCAATAAAGTATAAAATTCTCAAGGAAACCAACACCAAGCATTTTAGTTGAATTTTTTTATATTGAGGTACATGTAACATTTTTTAATTCATAAAGGCTGAACATTTTGCAGCGTAATGAAGTTATAGGTTAGCATGATGTACACAAGAAATTCTTTTCAAGATACATAATTATATGAATAATGAAACATGCCTTGATAGCAATTTCTCACAAGAATTGTACCAAAATATATCCATTCAGTTAGCCAACAAAGGTTTTAACTTCACCTCTTAGTTGAAAGTTACCAAACTATTAGGTGCAACAGTGATAGATTGTCATCAGAAAAGAAACACACATTGCCATGGAAGTTTTTTCAATAACAGCCTTTTAGATTGTTAAAAATGATTTACGGTACACCATGTGATTCAACAATGAACCTTGAGCTGAAGCCAAACAGACAACTGGTCATGAATTACTTAGGCAAGTTTCCCTTCTATAACTTTTTCAAACACTACCATATGCTGATATCCCACATTATTTTCCACCATTTCTGATTTCTCAATTTGGCTTTATATCTTGGACAAAGTACTTTATCCAGCTGTGCAAGTTGAATGAACAATAGATATCGCAAGCATTTCAGCACACAAATCGAAAAGCCTCAAGTGTCCCTTGATTCATAAAGCAGCTATAGTGGTGATCTCTGCCTGGGGTTTATCACACCGAAAAAAACCCAAAGAGTAAATTACAGCTTTTACATTGTGAATTTCTTATTAAAATGTTAACAAATTCTTCAATTCAAAATACATTTTTTTTCAACAATATCAAGATCCTTTCCAAAGACAAAGAATTGAAGGTAACGCACAAAAAAAGGTCACAATTACATTAACAATAACTAGCATTACAATTACCTAATATTTAGAAATCATAAATTATCTGATTAAATATGAACACATAACAAAACGTGACATTCAGAAAATGTTTTCATAAGGATGTCTTGTAGAAAAAATATTAACTGCCATCACAAGCCTGATATGGTGCGCAATTTTAGCTTTTTAAGTGATGTGTTGGTGGGTTATGGGAATATTACTTGTTTTACAAAGATTACTGTAATAGATACCTGAACATGGAAACTGGAGATGCATTTTTATTATTAAACCATGAACAAGTAATAGATAACTAGAAGTTATAAGTTTTAATTACCATTATTAACACCTATTTAAACTCACTAATGTTTGCTACAACAGCCATAGTTTCTACCTGGCGAATGTACAAAGCAAAATTACTTTTTCATAATTTTACGAATCAAACAAGTTGACATAGCAGTGAAGAAGTTCCTTTTCAAAACTGAACTACAAAACCAAACAAATAAAGTAGGTAAGTGCACGTGCGTTTTGAAGGATGGGATCATGCGCAAAAGAGTTTAGTACATGTGGGTATTTGTTAAATTGGGATCAAAGTATATTTGCAGGCAACCGCACTCACTTTTTTGCTGATGACATTGGTGGTACTAAGGCATCACTACTCGCTGTGTTTCTGCTCAGGCATACCTAAGGTACTGCCAAAGGATCCCCCGGCTGTGGTCATTGTCGGCAAGTGGCTTGTGGTGGGGTACTGTGTCACACTACCTTGTACTTGCATACCCATAGGTGGCAGTTGTGTCTGCATCGGTAACATCCCCTGTACAGGAAAAGGCGCAAAGGATGAGAAGTTGCCCAGTGGAAGAACCCCTGGCATCTGCACACCAGGACCTTGCATCCCCGCCCCAGAGGGTTGCATCCCATGTGGTAAATAGTACATTGGCTGCTGCACAGCTGACATCATCATATTAGGCTGAGAGTACATGAAGGGCATGGAGGGAACATGAGGGGCTGTTGCTGCGCTCATTGACCCTACATTTCCAGGTTGGGACTGGCTGGTATTAGGAAGAGAGGAAGGCTGCATTTGTGAGGCATGTATCTGAGTGGCCTGTAACTGAGAGGCCTGCAACTGAGCGGCCTGCAACTGAGAGGCCTGCAACTGAGAGGCATGTATCTGAGTAGCCTGTAACTGAGATGCATGCAACTGAGAGGCCTGCATCTGAGCGGCCTGCAACTGAGAGGCCTGCATCTGAGAGGCCTGCAATTGAGCTTGCTGCATCTGAGCGGGCTGCATCTGAGCGGCCTGCAACTGAGACGCTTGCATCTGTCGACGAAGAAGTCGCATTTCTTCCTGTTGCTGTATGATAATCCTTTGCAGCTCTGCAGTATCTAGCGTTGTTACATTTTTGGTACTGGGAGAAGCATCAGTGACTGGTTTATGAGACAATTCAGCAACTGACGCAATCTTTTGGTGCATTTTTGGACTGGTTCGTGGGCTTAACTGCTTCAGTTTTGCCCCATTTTTTCTGGGATGGCTTTTTTGTGGAAGGATACATCTGTCAATCTCAGAGTGGGATGCAATATCAGAAAAACCAGAATCTAAACGACCACTGATGTTCTGTCTTCTCAGAGTTTCATCTTCAGAGAGGCCTTCCGATGAACTTTCTGAATGCCTGTCAAGATCCCCACTGACCGGTCTTCGAACATGTGTTTTCCGTTTAACCTTTCGAATAACTCTTTGCTGAACTGGAGATTGCTTCACTGTTTTATCCAAGTTGAATTTGTTTTTTTCATCTTCATTTTTCATTACAAGTCCTTCATTCAAGCTGCCCTGGGAAACTGATTGGACTGCATGCTGGATATCAGATTTATTAGGCAACAATTCAAATATTTCCCAACTCTTGTCAATGTTTGGTGTGGATTTTGAATGACGTCTGTGTTCTCGGATTTTAGATGACTCTTCAAATCCTCTTCGCTGTACTCTCGTATCATCACTGAATGTCTGAGCACTTGTGAATGATGCTTGGAATGCTTTCGCAGCCTTCATTTTAGCAAGAATAGTTCTGGTTCTTTCACGGACTTCTTTATGCCGTCTCATGTGTGCTTCCTCATCTCCAACTTCAGTTTCTTGCTTAGAGGTCTCTTTTTCTTTGGTTCCCTGTGAACAAATTTTGTGTTCCTCTTCAAATATAGATTGCATACCGCTGTCTGGTACCTCAGTTTTGTTGTATTTATTCTGCTCTGCTGTAAGCTCAGTTGAAATGATTGCTGATGGTGATTCTTCAATAGGATTTTCACCTGACCGTTCCAATGTAGATTTCCTTATGACTAAATCAACATCCATTGTTTCCTTTTTGTGTTCCTTCTGCTTGCAGTTCCGACTTGGATCTTGTAATTCTAGCATCCGTGGCATCATTTGTGTTTTCTCAAGGACATGCATGTCTTTATCTTCAACCTTGACATGCTGAACAACTTGTGTATCTTTGACAACTGACTCCCCCTGCACAGGCTTATCTTGTTCTCTTTCACAATTTTCCCCTGTTACTTCATAATCATCCACAACTGAACTCTTTTTCCTCGCTCGCTTCTCCTTCCAGGAACTTACACTTTCAATTATTGGGAAACTATCATCTTCTGCATTCTTTTTGACTGGTACCTCTTCCTTTTTGGGGGTGCCCTATCTGTGGACTTCCTCCATGTCAATGCTTTACTCTGATACATTACTCGTCCAACACCTGCAAAAGTTGGGGATGCTTGATTTACTGTTGATTGGTTGGGCTTTGTTGGCTTTGGTGAGATTTGTATGGATTCAGTGCTTTCCACTGGGGGTTGACTCATCATTTGGTCCTGCTCTGTGATTGCAATCTTATCAGGAGGAGTAACTTTCCTCAATTTAGTTTGTACTTTTACAAACTCTGGGCTCTCTTTGTCATCTGAATCAGTTGAACAAACAAACTTTGGTTCAGCTTGCACCTGTTTGGACCTTTCCACTGGCACTTTGTTCATTGTCTGCTCCGAGACCGATATCTTGCCAGAAGGATTAACTCTCCTTAATTTAGTCTGGGCTTTGAGGAACTCGAGGATTTCCTTATCTGAACCACCTGAGATTTGTGCTGTTTTATTTTCCGGAACTTGTTTTCTTGGCTTATCTGATGGGTTCTGATTATTTTCCTTGGACATTACACCACCAAATCTTTTCCGTACTGCTTTCACAACACTCAAGGAAGCTAGTTTTTCAAGTTCATCTTTAGGCTCTGCTCTTTCAAATTCAAAGTGCTTTTCTTGGTGTTCCCCATCTGGTTCATCTCTGTGTATTGCTTCGTTCCACTCTTCTGCACCCAATGATTTGGACCGTGACAAAGCACGAAATGTTTTAGACACTGAATTATTACCATTATGATGTAAGGAATTTGACCTTGTTAAAGGCTTACTGTCCGTTTCTATTTTGGGCACTTTTTCTGTATTGGCATTTTGATCTACACATTTTTCAGCAAAAACTGTTTCTTGGATACCTTTCATTTTAGGAGTGGTCAATCCAATTCCTAAAGAATCAACTGGCACATATTCACTGACCAAAATTCTTGAGGAAGCCTTCCTTTGATTGGGGTCCTTCTGCATTGTTTCATGCTGTTCTGCAACTACTGCTGTATCTCCTGCTACCAAAGACATCCTTATTCCATCAGAATCTGTATCAATCTTTTGTTTTTCCCGACTTCTTTTCAAATTGTGGTCCACTGGGGTTTGGGTATTTTCTGAAGAGACTTTTTTGCAGTCATGAGAATGCTCCTCTGCAGATGACAAATTCTCAACTGCTACTTTGTCCATATCTACAAATGATATAGTATGTCCCATTTCCTTCCTAGTTGATCCACTGCAACTGTCAAAGTCTTCTTTACATTCATCTCCATCAGTCTTTTTCTCTGAATGTGTTATAGAAATTGACTTGACAGGAAGATCAACTCCCATCATTCTTGCCATGGATTTTTTAAGGAGTGCCTTAATTTCAGATGACCTTTCATGATTTGATGAAATAGCCTCTTTCGCCATTCGTCTCACTATTGAAAAATCAGGGATGGCTGCATCTTCTTTGCACGAAGAGAAATCTGTATTTGTGTGCTGTGTGTACAATAGTTGCTTTTCTTCCACACAACTGTTTTGGGGTTTTATAGTTGCTGAGTTTTCAGGAGCACTCATGGAATCACTGTCAGATTTTTGTGCTTTATCTGAATCCTCTAAAATTGGTGCCTCTTCACAAGCAGATTTGTTAGGCTTCGTCTGCAAAGGCTTGGTGTCTGAGGCAGAAATGCTTGCTTGTGGATCACTAGGTGCTAAACTAGGAACACTGGTTGCACGTTGACTTTGGAGTTGGATGTTTTCTGAAGACTTGTTATCGCAAGCCACTTCAATGTCATACTGCGATTCTGCAGTTTGCATGTGTGGTGCAAACATGAAGTCTGAATCAAACAGATAAATTTGCTTAAACTTTGTCATCTGTTCTTCCTCCGTCAATGACAGTTCAAACTGCTTCTCAGAATTTCCAAGATTTTCTTCACAGGTTTTGTTGGATTGTTTTGAATCAGACCTTTGGTTGGATAAGGTTGCAGTCTCTGGCAGGGATTGGTTTGAAATTGATGTTTCCTGCACAGTATTTACACAATATTTATCTACAATCTCTTCAACCCAGAAAAGAGACTCCTTTTCATCCACCTCTTCTTCTAGAATACTGGGTGATGCCGAACGCTTTGGTTTAGGAGGGGGAGCCCCTTGTGGAAGTGGCAACACCTTAACAGCTTCTGCTATTGTGCCTAGGTCTTCAATACTTGAATACATGATTCCATGCTCAGCTAAAAGGCCAGAAGTGGAACGGTTAGACATCTGGGATAATAGTGGACCCTTAGGTACTTCCAATGAAGCAGCTCTGATATGAGACTCTTGTCTGTGGGAGTGCATATCTGGAAGTGAAACAGCACTATACCTTTTGTCGAATGATTGAATTGGTAGGGTGGGAGCAAAACCTTTTCTACAGTGGGTTGGAGGTGTTCCTATTGAAGATGAAGATGAAAATGATTTCAAAGAATATTCCGATCCTGGAGACCCAGGGACACTACCTTTGAATAAATGTTCTTGAGGTGCAACTTTTAAGATTGGTGGGGGTGGAGCTGCCCGTTTTTTGGTAGACTTTGAAGAAGTTGAAGATGTACTATCAACGGAAGCCCTAGGCCTTGGCAGAAATTCTGCAGGGGAGTATGTTACAGGACTGCTACTGCTAACAGACATATCTACACTGCCAGTACTTTCCGCCGAGACACTTTCATATCTACCGACTCTTATTGGTGGAGACATATCCTTGGTTTCTTGTAGCATTTCTGTGCCTTTCTTTGTCTTTTTCTTCCCGAACAGCTTGCCTAATGTTCCCACCTTGCCCTCCCTCTGGCTCTCAGATTTTGACAGTGTTTTTCTGTTGTGTGTGACGTGCATGCAGACTGTCACTCCTGTTGGACGGCATGCGGTTAACGTCATTTACTGTTTCAGTGAGTAGTGATAGAATATGCAAGAAAAACATAAAAGCAAGCAGGTTTATCTAAATTGCATAGTAACAGCAGATCATGCAAGTGATAACATTTAACAGAAATCATGCAATCACACAGCTTCTGAAAGGGATTTTTTTTCACAGCAAAATGTAATGTGCAAGAACAGCAAATCAAAGCAAAAGTGGATTGTTGAGTTTTTCTTAAAAAACAACTTTTTATCCCTTCTCCAAAATGACTGATAAGTACTGTGTGATCAAATGATAGACTGACCTTAAGTCCAAGTTGATTTAAATGCTGGTTATTAGTGTGCACCATTTGGAGAAGGCACAAATAGTTGTTTTATCAGCAAACTCAGCAATGCATGCAGGGCAAAACACCATTGAGGAATTACTGTTCATACCTTTCGAACCTTTAAAAGCTGCATAGGGTTATCGTGTGAATCTATGCTACTTGTGTTCCTAGTAGCACAAAATCAAGAAATCATAGAAGGAATCATTTGAATGAAAAACTGTAAATCTCACTATCCCATTTCATTTGACGTCAACATGCAATCACTTTTTGTTCTCAGTCTCATATTTTTTACACATGGAATCTTAAAATCTTGAGATAGAGCAATCTTGAAAACTTCTAACACTGATGACCAACTATTATGTTAGCACTTTGCCTAACATAGTATTATTTTCATCAGCTTCATTTAAATATTACAATTTGCAAAAACAGATCAGAGGAAAAAGGTATTGTGAATGTTAAAGTTGGGAGTTTGTTTTTAAATTGTCGGAATGATTAAACTTATGTGAGATAACAAATGACTTCCTATCTTGATCACCAAGACAACCTTTTGAAGTCAGAATAACTACCTTTTATGCAGTTGATTGCAAAATAAAAAAAGCACACAAACTACAAAAACATTGCAAGCTATATAATTATGCAAATTATTTGTTACACTTGTTCCCTCAGTAAAGAAAATGCTGTATGCTCCAGCTGAATAAATCTACATGCTATTAAGAATAAAGCTGCAAAGTTCCTTAAAATGCACCAGGTTAATGGCATACATTCAGTTTTAGCATTTTGCAAATGTCTTTACTAATTTGTCCCATTGTTAAACTTTACTCACCATCAGATCTACTGGAGTGCAAACTGTCTACTCCATGGAGTCCTACTTCATCAGCAGTGTCTTCGTCTGGTATTTGAACAATGGTTTGTCGACCTTTGCGGCTGAAAAACTTCCCCAAAGACTTCTTTCCTTTGGAGTGGGAATGTTCTTTGGCATATGCAGCTGAATCATCAGCATCATCTCCATTTGCATTATTGTTCACATTGAGTTCCATGTCGTCGTGTCTTGTTTCAATTGTTTGTGTACCATCAGTCTGCGTATTGTTGTGTTATTTGAATTGGGGTTATCAGAGTCACTGGAGTCTTTTTTGCCAAATCCAAATGTTGACATTATTCTGGAGCCAATACCTTCATCAGAGTCAGAAGATGAACTGGAGCTAGAGCTGGAGCTAGAAGTAGAATCTCTGGACAGGCCTATTGACCCAAAGAATCCTTTCTTTCCTTCTTTTTCTTCTTTGGACGAGCCTTTGATTCTGTTTTAACATCAACGTCAGCTTTGCCTGCTAATGAGCCCGACATTTCTGGCAGTTTAACAGAAAGTCCTCCAGAAGCAGCTTTGTCAACGTCAACTTCTCCACCATCCCCGCCCACTACTCCGATGTCTGCACTTGGTACATCTACTGAAACAGCACCATCGACTGATGATCCCTCATGATCCTTTTTCTTCTTTCCTTTTCCTCTTTTCTTCCGCTTTTTACCATCAGTTTTAGTACTAGCAGAACCTGTTACTTCAGGTAGGCCCAATTTGGCTCCACCAGATAAGCCAACACCAACATCACCACTAATATCGCCAGCTGTGCCTCCCATTCCAATTCCATCCAGGCCGCCCATTGACATGTCGGGTTTTGTTGTACCAACATCAATGTCAACATCTGCTCCGAGACCACTGCCAATATCAGGGCCACCAGTCAAAATGCCACCGATCTCTCCACTTAATGAACCCTCTGGTTTAGCTGCTTTGACATTCATGTCAACTTCAGGCTTAATATCATCGCTGCCAAACTCCCCACTGACATCAAATTTTCCATTTCCGATTCCACCAATATCTCCCTTGTGGTCTCCACTAAAGCCAAGGCCTACATCAATCCCTCCACCTGCAGAGAATGAGGTATCTGGTTTGGGTATTGCAGTATCCACATCAATTTTTCCATCTCCGATGCCATCAAAGCCTCCAGCAATACCACCTCCAAGGCCTCTGCCAACAAAACCTCCAGCTGATGCGTTGGCTTTTGGTTTGACTGCTTTTACACTGTCATCAACCTTAGGTGTAACCATATCTAGGTCACCTCCAAAATCTTTACCAAATCCCTCACCAGCCAAGGCCAGACCTCCACCTACAGAAAATGAGCCATCTGGTTTTGGTGCTTTAGTTTCAATGTCAATATCTCCACCCCCAAAGCTACCACCTGCACCATCACCAATGCCTCCACCAAAATTGCCACTAATGCCATCTCCACTTACATCAGGACCACTAACAGAGAGAGAACCTTCTGGGTTGGGTGCTGTAACATCAACTTTTGTATCTCCAATTCCACCAAGACCTCCAAATCCCCCACCAATTCCTCCACCTATTGACAGTGAACCATCTGGTTTAGGTGCCGAGACATCAACATCAACTTTTCCATCTCCAATTCCACCAAGGCCTCCCAATCCCCCACCAATTCCTCCACCTATTGACAGTGAACCATCTGGTTTAGGTGCTGAGACATCAACATCAACTTTTCCATCTCCAATTCCACCAAGGCCTCCAAATCCCCCACCGATTCCTCCACCTGCTGACAGTGAGCCATCTGGTTTAGGTGCTGAGACATCAACATCAACTTTTCCATCTCCAATTCCACCAAGGCCTCCAAATCCCCACCAATTCCTCCACCTGCTGACAGTGAATCATCTGGTTTAGGTGCTGAGACATCAACATCAACTTTTCCATCTCCAATTCCACCAAGGCCTCCAAATCCTCCACCAAATCCTCCACCTGCTGACAGTGAGCCATCTGGTTTAGGTGCTGAGACATCAACATCAACTTTTCCATCTCCAATTCCACCAAGGCCTCCAAATCCCCCATCAATTCCTCCACCTATTGACAGTGAGCCATCTGGTTTAGGAGCTGAGACATCAACATCAACTTTTCCATCTCCAATTCCACCAAGGCCTCCAAATCCCCCACCGATTCCTCCACCTGCTGGCAGTGTGAACCATCTGGTTTAGGTGCTGAGACATCAACATCAACTTTTCCATCTCCAATTCCACCAAGGCCTCCAAATCCCCCACAAATCCTCCACCTGCTGACAGTGAGCCATCTGGTTTAGGTGCTGAGACATCAACATCAACTTTTCCATCTCCAATTCCACCAAGGCCTCCAAATCCCCCACCAATTCCTCCACCTATTGACAGTGAGCCATCTGGTTTAGGAGCTGAGACATCAACATCAACTTTTCCATCTCCAATTCCACCAAGACCTCCAAATCCCCCACCAATTCCTCCACCTATTGACAGTGAGCCATCTGGTTTAGGAGCTGAGACATCAACATCAACTTTTCCATCTCCAATTCCACCAAGGCCTCCAAATACCCCACCAATTCCACCACCTGCTGACAGTGAGCCATCTGGTTTAGGTGCTGAGACATCAACATCAACTTTTCCATCTCCAATTCCACCAAGGCCTCCAAATCCCCCACCGATTCCTCCACCTGCTGACAGTGAGCCATCTGGTTTAGGTGCTGAGACATCAACATCAACTTTTCCATCTCCAATTCCACCAAGGCCTCCAATTCCACCAAGGCCTCCAAATCCCCCCACCAATTCCTCCACCTGCTGACAGTGAGCCATCTGGTTTAGGTGCTGAGACATCAACATCAACTTTTCCATCTCCAATATCACCAAGGCCTCCAAATCCCCCACCAATTCCTCCACCTGCTGACAGTGAGCCATCTGGTTTAGGTGCTGAGACATCAACATCAACTTTTCCATCTCCAATTCCACCAAGGCCTCCAAATCCCCCACCAAGGCCTCCCAATACCCCACCAATTCCTCCACCTGCTGACAGGGAGCCATCTGGTTTAGGTGCTGAGACATCAACATCAACTTTTCCATCTCCAATTCCACCAAGGCCTCCAAATCCCCCACCAAGGCCTCCAAATCCCCCACCAATTCCTCCACCTGCTGACAGTGAGCCATCTGGTTTAGGTGCTGAGACATCAACATCAACTTTTCCATCTCCAATTCCACCAAGGCCTCCAAATGCCCCACCAATTCCTCCACCTATTGACAGTGAGCTATCTGGTTTAGGTGCTGAGACATCAACATCAACTTTTCCATCTCCAATTCCACCAAAGCCTCCAAATCCCCACCAATTCCTCCACCTGCTGACAGTGAGCCATCTGGTTTAGGAGCTGAGACATCAACATCAACTTTTCCATCTCCAATTCCACCAAGACCTCCAAATCCCCCACCAATTCCTCCACCTATTGACAGTGAGCCATCTGGTTTAGGAGCTGAGACATCAACATCAACTTTTCCATCTCCAATTCCACCAAGGCCTCCAAATCCCCCACCAATTCCACCACCTGCTGACAGTGAGCCATCTGGTTTAGGTGCTGAGACATCAACATCAACTTTTCCATCTCCAATTCCACCAAGGCCTCCAAATCCCCCACCAAGGCCTCCACCTATTGACAGTGAGCCATCTGGTTTAGGTGCTGAGACATCAACATCAACTTTTCCATCTCCAATTCCACCAAGGCCTCCAAATCCCCCACCAATTCCTCCACCTGCTGACAGTGAGCCATCTGGTTTAGGAGCTGAGACATCAACATCAACTTTTCCATCTCCAATTCCACCAAGGCCTCCAAATCCCCCACCAATTCCTCCACCTGCTGACAATGAGCCATCTGGTTTAGGTGCTGAGACATCAACATCAACTTTTCCATCTCCAATTCCACCAAGACCTCCAAATCCCCCACCAATTCCTCCACCTATTGACAGTGAGCCATCTGGTTTAGGAGCTGAGACATCAACATCAACTTTTCCATCTCCAATTCCACCAAGGCCTCCAAATCCCCCACCAATTCCACCACCTGCTGACAGTGAGCCATCTGGTTTAGGTGCTGAGACATCAACATCAACTTTTCCATCTCCAATTCCACCAAGGCCTCCAAATCCCCCACCAAGGCCTCCACCTATTGACAGTGAGCCATCTGGTTTAGGTGCTGAGACATCAACATCAACTTTTCCATCTCCAATTCCACCAAGGCCTCCAAATCCCCCACCAAGGCCTCCACCTGCTGACAGTGAGCCATCTGGTTTAGGTGCTGAGACATCAACATCAACTTTTCCATCTCCAATTCCACCAAGGCCTCCAAATGCCCACCAATTCCTCCACCTGCTGACAGTGAGCCATCTGGTTTAGGTGCTGAGACATCAACATCAACTTTTCCATCTCCAATTCCACCCAGGCCTCCAAATCCCCCACCAATTCCACCACCTATCGAGAGTGAGCCATCTGGTTTAGGTGCTGAGACATCAACATCAACTTTTCCATCTCCAATTCCACCAAGACCTCCAAATCCCCCACCAATCCTCCACCTGCAGACAGTGAGCCATCTGGTTTAGGAGCTGAGACATCAACATCAACGTTTCCATCTCCAATTCCACCAGGCCTCCAAAACCCCCACCAATTCCTCCACCTATTGACAGTGAGCCATCTGTTTAGGTGCTGAGACATCAACATCAACTTTTCCATCTCCAATTCCACCCAGGCCTCCAAATCCCCCACCAATTCCTCCACCTATTGACAGTGAGCCATCTGGTTTAGGTGCTGAGACATCAACATCAACGTTTCCATCTCCAATTCCACCAAGGCCTCCAAATCCCCCACCAATTCCTCCACCTGCTGACAGTGAGCCATCTGGTTTGGTGCTGAGACATCAACATCAACTTTTCCATCTCCAATTCCACCAAGGCCTCCGAATCCCCACCAAATCCACCTGCTGACAGTGAGCCATCTGGTTTAGGTGCTGAGACATCAACATCAACTTTTCCATCTCCAATTCTATCTAGGGCTCCAACACCAGCACCAATTCCTCCTCCACCTACTGACAGCGAACCATCTGATTTAGGTGCCGACACATCAACATCACCACTGATGTCAATTCCTCCCTCTGCAGATCCAGGTCTTTTAGCCTTGCCTGAAAATCCAAAACTGGGCAATTTGACTTTGAACCCCCCTTTCCCTTCATGGTCTGATTCTGAAGAACTGGAACTGCTGCTTGATTTCCCATCCTTTTTACCTCGAAATCCAAAACCAAAGCCTCCCTTTTTTTTTCCTTTTGGCTTTTTAGGTTTTCCCTTTTTGCCAAGATTCAAACCAACATCTGGAACTTCTCCCATTTCACCACTTCCAGCACTTAGGTCTATTCCTCCACCTACAGAAAGGGAAGCATCTGGTTGTGGTGCTGTAACATCTGCATCAATTTTTCCATCTCCATTAATATCTCCACCAATGCCTCCACCGCCAGAGAATGACCCATCAAGTTTGGGAGCTGCAACATCCAGGTCAACTGTGAAGTCTCCAACTCCTGCAAGGTGACCACCACTAATATCTCCACTTGGTTTTGCAGCCTTTGCTTCAATGTCAACTTTGGGAGTACAATATCACTACCTGCACTCACATCCATTTCTTCCTTTTTACCGCCTAAACCTAATCCAAATTTGCCCTTCTTTTCTTTGGGCTGCCTTTACCCTTGACGTTTATACTTCCAGATGCTTTGGGGGTGATACATCAATGTTTACATCAACATCTCCCGAAGCTTTATGCTTTGACTTGCCAAAGTGTATAGATGGCAGGCCAAAGCTGCCCCTTTCCCAGAACCTCTCTTTTTATCTCCTCTGTGCAGTTTAGCGTCAGCTGTGGCATCAAAGTCTGTCTGGACTTTTGGTCCACTTGGTTGATCTACCGAAATGCCAGCTTCTGGTTTTGCTAGCTCAAAATCCCCATTGAGAGACAAGTCAGCACTACCACCCGTCGGCTTGAATTTTCCTTCTGCACCAACATCGATGTCCCCGCTGTGACTAAGGTCATAGTCTCCTTTGCCTCCTTTCATCTTTGGTAATCAAACGATGGCATGTGAAACCCCCTTTCTTTTTTCCGGATCCTTTACCCTTTCCGTCAAATCCAATTGCACCATCAATTTCAGTATCAACAGATGCATCAGGGCTATCGACAAACATTTTACCACTCGGCAGATCAACTGAAACATTACCTTCAGGTTTCGAAAGCTTAAACATCAAATTCTAAAGCCTTTGTCACTCTCCAAGATCTGGTCCTTCAATACCAATTGAGCCCTTCGGTAGCTTCATATCCACATCTGCATC